ATTGAAAACTATGCTTAGTTTGGCTTATTTTAAAGGTGAATAAAATGCTTATTACGAAGATGCCCTTGATAACATACTGCTATGTTTGCCTACAAGGAGGAAGAATTACCCACTTGTTTACTGTCTTTTAACTTCCTTATCTAAAATAGCCCTAGGACAATAACAAAGCATGACCTTGAATATGTTATTCAGCACTTTAGGGTTTGGATATCCCCAAAATTTCCTTCAGACTTCACCTGTCTCCATTTCCTGTTTAAAAATGTTTTTTCATCTCTTTTTTTTTTTTTTTTTTTTAACTATTTGTCTTGTGCTTATGTTGCTGAACATAAACTGCCAAAGATGAGGATTGATTTCAAAACAGGCTTCCCATTTTATTTCTGCAGTGATGTGACAGGCTGATGAATGCCGCACTGGCAGCGTTGAATCATTGAGAAGGTAGCTAATAGATCTGCCATGCTGAGAGCAACACAGAATCATAGAATCACAATTAGGTTGGAAAAGACCTCTGAGGTCACTGAGTCCAACTCTTGACTGAACACTACCTTGTCAGCTAGACCGTGGCACTAAGTGCCACATCCAGTAATTTCTTAAACATATCCAGGGATGGTGGCTCTACCACTTCCCTGGGGAGCCCATTCCAATATTTACCAACTCTTTCTGTGAAGAAGTTCTCTTGATGTCCAACCTGAACCTCCCCTGGTACAGCTTGAAGTTATGTTCTTGTGCCCTGTCACTAATTACCTGGGAGAAGAGGCCTGCTCCCACCTGGCTACAGTCTCTTTTCAGGTAGCTGTAGACAGTGATAAGGTTTCCCCTGAGCCTCCTCTTCTCTAAACCAAACAACCCCAGCTCCCACAGCTGCTCCTCACATGAATTACCCTCTAGACCCTTCACCAGCTCCATTGCCTTTCTGTGGACATGCTTCAGCTTGTCCATAGGATGTCTTTCTTGCAGTGAGGGGCCCAGAACTGAACACATTGCTTGGTATGGCCTCACCAGTGCCAAGTATAGGGCAACAAAAGATGCTAATCTTGGGCTCTGCAGACACTTTCTTAACCCTTCTTCAATGGGTCATATGGTGGTATTCCTCTGCACTCCTGTACAGGGTAGTGAATGGCAAGCAAATAGTAGAAAGAGTGAATTGCTGATGCTTCTGGAGATGGTATGTAATATGTCATCTGATTTTTTAAAATATGCAACATTACCAGCTTCCTTCTGGATCAGAAACAATGCTTGAATTATTTTGTAGAAGTTTTGAAACTTTTACAAAGTTTACAAAGGTTGACCCTGTCACAGGAAAAAATACTCTCTCTGTTGGTGTTTCGGGCTATTTAAAGTAAAACTTTCAGCCTATGGTATCTTAATGCACACAAACACCCAATAGAACAATTATTTGTGTGATAAACACTGTGTATTAGTGATCCCTTACCTTGTAAATACTTACAGGAGTTTCTTTTATCCTCCTTGTCAAGTTTTTATTAATCTTTTTTTCTTTGTCCTCAATCTGGTAAAAAGTTCAGTCTGTGAGTAAGGAGAAAAAATCTAGACTGCTGAATGTAAGGTATCCTTTTTATACATATTCTTTATGTGTATTTTTAGAAGCAAGCAGGTTTTTGCTCACTATCACCTTGCACCATGAGGAAGCTGGTGTCCCAAGTACCCAAAATGTGCTATTCTGCCTGTCTGTGTGTGCTGTACTAAGACAAGGCAAATGGTGTGCCAAGGTGAGACTGGCTCTCATTGCTGACAAGGCTGTCCAGCTTCACAAACCAGTAAAGGGTTTGCTGTAATGTCATTTCCAAAATTGACTACTATTGCATTAAAAAAAAAGGAGAAAGACTACTAGCAAGTGCTTTCTCTGCTGTAGCACAGTATCTGCTTTCCTATACTTAAGCAGCGTTAGTTGAATATCTCCTGGTCACTCCCTCTGCCTTCTTTCCAAAGGGTGAGTCTTGGTTCAAGGCAGGTGGCAAGCCAGGGTGGATTGAGGAAGTAAAAGCAGTCCCTTCCTAGCCTGTTGCATCTCTTCGACTTTTATGATGAGATAGTAATACTGCCACTTCTTCTTCTCTGACTTACAGAGTCAGAAGTGCAGTCTCTCAAACAAAAACACAACTTCAAAGCAACAGAAAGCCCCAGAACTGACCTAGAAAGCAATTAAGTTGATTTTAAAGAAACTTTTGCAGCCTATAGGACCTGTCTGGGGGGTTCAAATGCTCGTGTGGAAGACTAGGAATTGCAGGGTAATCTAGACTGAAAAGGACCTCTGAAGGTATTCTTGTCTAGCCCTCTGCTCACAGCAGGCCCCCACAGCTCAGGACCATACTTACAGGAGTTTTGGCTATATGCATGGAAGGAGATTACACAACCTTTGTGACAGCCTATTCTGGTGCTCAGCCACTTAATTGTTTAAAAAACAAACATTGCTTAACTCTTTTCACCTGCATTGCAACAAGTTTGTTGCCTTTAGTCTTAATCACTGTGCACTTTGCAGGAGATTCTGTCCTTCTCTTCACTGTGTGCCCCGTGGATAGCTGCAACCAGCAGTAAGATCTCTGCTGAGTCTCCTTCAGCTTGAAATGTAGTTGACAGGGAAGGACCTCCTTGGGCCTCTTCTCTTTTCATGCCTATTTCCTTTAACGACTGAGCTGTGGGAAGCTTTAGCCACTTGACTGTTTGTGACAGCCTCTTGCCTAGACACTGGACACTCATGTCCATGTGCATCCTGCTGCAAGATAGCAGCCTGGCAGGAGGGATCACAGGTTCCTGAACTGTCATGCTCAGTGCAAAGCTCATCCAGTTCGGTGTCTTATCAGTAGGATGTGTATGAACATTCCCTATAGCTGCATTACTGGGCCCTGAGACACTGGGAGTTTAAAGAATGTTTCACTTCAAATGCTAAATATCAATTATGGATGCAACCGGCACATAACTGGTGTATTTTATTGAGGAGGGGAAGTGTAAAAGTGGATTATATCCAGTTGTATAGTGCAATCAACTCCTGCTCTCCAGTGCCTCTTACTAATACAATAGCAAAGGGGTTTCCCATCTGCTTTTGCAATGAATTCACTAAGGACAGTCTCTGAGCCTTAGAAGCTATTACATCTATCAGTGTTTCCCTTTCTGTTCTTAGCTTAGTAGCAATATAGATTTGGCTTTGTGCCGCTGCTACGTATAAGCTCATCTGTACAGATTTTATTCTGCCTTCTGATTTACTACAGGATTTCTGGCAGATGTTGGTTAGATCAGTTTGTAATGCAGTCAGTCTTGCTGATGTATTCTGTGAGCCTAGCTCTTCCTAGCTGTGAGTGGGGGGAGAGCAGCAGAAAGCTCAGACTGCTTGCCTGACTGGGTTAGTGGTGATGTCTGTAGCCGTAACTCATAGCAACAAGTGGCTTGGAGGTGACTGGCCATAACCTGTCACTTTGTAGAGCTGTGTTTCTGCCACATCTGTCATGTGTAGCTGTAAAATGCTCCAATGGTGTCAGGAGAATGCTTGTATAAAATTCTGTATTTAAACTGTCAGCATCTGAAATGTCAGTGAGTAGATTTCTCTTACTAGAGGGGTTTCTTCCCCTGTATTCTCTTTGAGTGTGTACTTCTCTTTTCTAAATAAAACTTAATCTTCTGCTTACTTTGGAATGGTCTCGTTGCTGCTACGTTCTCTTGATCACAGAGAACAAGGGCTGGAGGTGAACCACTCACTAGTGTCACAGCTGCTACCTGCTGTACCTTCGCTTGCATTAAAATTATTCTTTCACTGTGAACTTGAAGAGAATGAGGTGTGTTCTTTTGGCTGGCTTTTTGGGGTACACTTTGGTCACCCTTTACACTATGCCATAATGTCTGCTTGGGGTTTATGTGCTGTGTGGTAGAATTTCCTTTGTTTTACCTCATTTATTCTCTGGTTGTTACCTGTCAGCTTCATTTACTATCCGGGGAAACAGATCTATGGATTCAGAGAGAGGGTCACAAAGAGCAAAAACAGCATTGATTACTGATTTGTCAACAGAAGCATCAGACATTCATCTTCATCTTGGAGTTGTCTGGAACAAGGATTAAATTGCAGATCACCCTAAGGCAACAGGGGAGCATTTAGTAAGTGGGTATCAATTTGTTTACTTGCCAGATCAAAACCACTTTGACTGTTCTTGTATGTTCTCTTTGCAGAAATGGAGTCTTGTTCTTTTCTTAGTACATTGTAAAAGGAGCAGTTAAAACTTCGTGCTTCTCCAGCCTCCTGGCACAGCCCTTCCATTAGGTTACAAATTATTTTTGTCACTGTGTTTGATGCATCCACTACTGATGTCATTTTGTGGTTGCATTTATCTGGGCTGGCTAATTAGTCTTATATTCCTGAATCCTGGATCTGTTATGATTGCTCATTTATACCTTATTTTTGCTTATGTGAAATATGGAAAATGTTTGTAAACGGCTTATAGCTGGCTTCTTTGTGCATGTCATCTGACTTTTAGTTTCAGTTTGTGGACTACACAGGAGATTGTGCAATGAGCATTATTTACTGCCTTAGGATTGTCAGGCTAAAAAACTGTATCCTTGCTGCAGCCATGAAATAGTAGGGCAAACATCACCATTTCATCTCAGTTATTGTCATGTGTTTACAGAAGTCACTGTCTTCTTGCAGTGGTGTGTATGGTCGGTTCTGCCATAAGGCAGGTGAAATGTATTTGAGGTGTCCTAGTGTTTAGCCTCTCACGTAACTAGAGGTTTACACTTTGAGGGTGAGGAAGACAAAACTTGAAATGGAGCCTTTTCTTTGTCCCTTCAGGCAGATATCAGATTTTATAAATTCATTGGTAGTTTTGATGTGCTTAGATCCTCTCTTCCTCTGCAGGAAACCGGTAGTCACAATTCACTGCAACATGTTTGTGATGCATGCATGGATTAAGGCTCATGCATTATACCTTGGACGTTATTTGAAACTAGGAAAGGTACAGGAAGAAGGAAATCAGCCTAATGGATTTTTAACTCTCTTCCAGGACTCATAGTTGGGGTGATCTTGAGGTACGGGACTCCCTCCAGCAGTGGCCATGACAAGCCGTTCAGCTGCTCGCAGGAGGACAGGCCGTTCACAACCCTGCTGGTCAATGTCAGCGGGAAGTTCTTTGAGTACACACTCAAAGGGGAAATAAGCCCTGGGAAGATCCACAATGTGGAGCAAAATGACATGTTGAGAAAGGTGAGGCTACACCGTTTCTTGCGCTTGGCTGAGTGTTTCTGCTTCATCTATGCTTGCCTTCCTCCTCCTTTCTCCATCCCATTGGAATGTGAGCTAGTGTCAAGTGTCAATATTGCTGATGGTAACAGTGTTTCAATGCTTAATTCAAGAACACCTTCTGTATTATATTGCTGCTGGCAAACTGTGCTCTGTTGCATGTATGTAGTGCTTTCCTAAAGCCCTTGGTTTGAAGACCTAATGTATGTTTCTAACATCTGTAGAATTCAAAATGACCAGCTGAACAAAAAAACCCTGATGTTGCCTTGTATGAATGCAATATAAGGAAAATGGTAATTAGTGAAAAGTGTTTGGTTCTTATAGTTTTTTTTTCCTAGGGTTTTAAAATCTGTTTATTGTCAGGAAATAGTTACTGCTTGTGTCTCTGTAATTTACCAAATGAGGTAATCTGGTATTGGAAGTGAAATTCACCTATCAATTGTTATTCAGATGTGCTATTTAGCTTTTTATTCAGTGTTAAGAATTAAGCACCTTTTATGTATATAAAATTTAGACTTTGAAGTATAGGATTGAGACTTTAAGGTCTGTAATTTAAAAATACTTCTTTCTGCTAACTATGAAGAAAGCTGTTGGTATGTACCTGTCTGCTCCAGACATCTAAAATTAGCTGAAGTGAATCCTATTCTGAGAGGGCACACTTGTCCTGTTTATCTTCTAACCTGTGCTTAGGGGGTGAAAAGAACCAAGTTAGTTTCACATGTGTGTGGGTCTTGTTTGGATTTTAAATATTGGGTTTTTTTCCTTAGTGTAGCGTAGGCTTTCATGGATATCTGCAACTTCTGCTGAAATACATACAAGTGACAAATGATCTGAATTCCTGAAAACCAGTCCTGTATCTGACTTGTTTGGCTTAAAATAACTGTATAGTGATTCGACTTTCAAAAAAACATGAGCTAAAAAAAGCATTTCATTTGCAGCTATATGAAAATCATGTGTGGTAGTAAGAGAGATCTTCTCCAGCATAATTTCTACTAGAAATGTTTAATTTAAAAAAGGGGACTGTATTTGGGATTGCTGCCAGATTATCATCAGGGATGGATGTAATGGATGTTTTTCCTAGATCTTGTTTACCAACAAGAGCTGCAGCTTTTTGCTGCTGTATACATATAGAGATGGCCAGTGTTTTAGAGAGTCAACTTATCTATTTTAACAACTAAAAGCAGTAGTTGTGAGAAAATGAAAGAGGAAAAAGACCTAATGATTTGTGTATTTCTGTTTCTAATTGAAATTTCATATTTTATTTTGTAGGTAACATTTGACCCAGAAGTTTTTTTCAACATTCTGTTGCCTCCTATTATTTTTCATGCTGGTTATAGCCTGAAGAAAGTAAGTGTAGTAATTTCTGAAGACAATAAACTCTTTTGATTTTTTTTTTCTTTTATATGTGTGTTTTTGTTTGGTTGGTTTTTGGGTTTTGCTTGTTTGTTTTTAATGTGAGACTAATGACATTTTCAGGATTGCAGTCTATTTCAAGGTGGTGTTTGTTTTGTTTTGTGTTTGTTTTTTTTTGTTTCTTTGTTTGTTTTTTTAGGGCAGGAAATAAAATCTTATTTCCTCCATAGATGATTAGGCCCTATTGTTTTAAGAGAAAATACATGTATTTTTTGGTATAAATGTGTTAAATGTCTATTTAATCTTGCTGATATGTTTTTCTTTGAATTTAGGCAGAGATTAATGTCAGTTTCGTTTAAAGTAAAAGATATTCTGCTATGAATGGTTTTGATCCTTTTCAAATGTCCAAAATGCAGTAAATTACACTGAAAAGTGGACCTAACCCTGAATACTGGTGGGGATGTGCCAGACACTGAATGACAGAAGGGCCCAGATTCTGATCTTGCTTGCAGATACCATGAATTTGTGCTGGTTTTTACACCTAACTCTTATATATCCTGAAAAAACATCTGTGTGGAAAGCTTCTGTCAATAAGTTACATTTAAGATTTAATGCATGATTCAGAGCTGGTTTATTCCATTTATTGAAGTTAGATAGAATTTACATTGCAGTAATTGAAATGTTTCTGTGGATTAACGCAAGTGAAGTAGTGTGCTATATGTTTTTGAACAAGTGCTATAATTTTTTTAAAATAAGTGTATAAACCTCTTTTCCTATGCAGAGGCACTTTTTCAGGAATTTGGGGTCCATTTTGGCTTACGCCTTTTTAGGAACAGCAGTCTCTTGTTTTATTATTGGGTAAGTGAACTCTGATATCAGTTCCTTTCTATACTGAAGTTTAAGTTGATAAAGTGCTCTCTCTCTCTCTGCATGCATAGGTATATTTTATGTCTATATGTACACACATATTTGGTTTAAGATAGCGAGTCACTTTGGTTTGCCTGAATACAATATCTTCTTATTGCTAATATTACTGTGTTTTGTATATGGATACTCTGAAATACAGAAGTCTTGAATTGCATTGGTGACCTTGATTTGTCTCTCAAAGAATTTCACTAGAGAAATAATTTGAAGGCTATTCTTAGCTGAGAGCTTTTGGCCCATGTACTATGTTGGGAAAAACAATACTGAACGGAATTTTGAGCAGGGAAGTGTTCCCTTTGGTGAAAAATGGAAGCAACCTGTAGACTTTCTGTGCCAGTTGTGTGAACAGATTTCATGCTTTGTTTGCCGGTTTTAAATGATGTCTTCTGGATAATGTATTGCTTGACTCTGTTCATAGGGCAAAGAGGAAAATGCATGTTGAGAGCTTAGCATTACACTGTGACTGTCCCATAGAGCTGTAGCATAACCAAGTCCACCTGAAATACTGTTGCTTGTGCTTTTCCTTTGCCTGTCTGAAGTACACCAACTTGTTTGACTTGGACTGTTTTATCCTTTTTCTCTTCAGGAATCTTATGTATGGGGTTGTGAAACTAATGAAGTTGGTGGGTCAGCTCTCTGATAAATTCTATTATACAGACTGCCTCCTCTTTGGAGCGATAATATCTGCCACTGATCCAGGTATCTTGATGAACATTTTTTAATAACCTTCCAAAATAACCCTATTGCTAGGATTTTTGGCTACATGTTAACAGGACTTAAATTTCAGTTATGTCATATTAGTATCTCTGAGACTCCTCTCTGAAGTGCATGCAAATTCTAAGTGTTTTAAAAGCTGTTCTCTGTTGATTTGGTGCTGAACTGGTGTAACATCATATTGCATTTGGGGAAAAATGTAACTCTCCTGTTCAAATACTTTAAATAATCTTTCTGCCCCACCCCCAGTAGGTTTTTTGCAGTTTTTTTTGTGGGGTTTGGGAGGGGGGGAGGGTTGGGGGAGTTTTTTGTTTGTTTGTTGTTTTTTTTTGGATGTGTGTGTGTGTAGTGGGCATCAAGTTTAAGACTGCAGATAGATGAAATTATTACATTGTCTGGATAGAAGAACTTCCTTCTTCAGCTACATTGCTTGGGGCTAGGTAATTTAAAAGCAATATTTGAGGTTTTTAGGCTCTTTAGGTGGGAGATTTTTCTTTTCTTTCAAATGAACTTCATGTTTTACAAGTTTGAGCAGAAAAATGCTCTTCTGGCCAAGTAATTTGAGCTATTACCCAAATAGTGTAGTCATTCTTCAGGGTCACGTAGGTGTCTCTGCTTGACTGGTCAGTTTGTAGGGCTGGTGTATGTCAGAGGTCAGGGTAGGCAGTGCTAAAGAATGAAACTTGACATTATAAACAGCATATTTGAGGTGCTCAGTGGTAATTAGTGTGCAAATGGGAAGTAACTCCTGTGACTGAGCTGAGCTCTGAACACCTGGTGGTTGCACACAATTTATGCAAAAAATCACTATGTGATTTTTGAAGCTTGTATATGGGAACATCTTCAAGATCATGGTCTTTCATCTCAGACTGAATTTTCTTGAAAGGATGCTTTTAAATATTTAGCATTCTTGCCCTTTTCAAATCCTGTGCAAATGCACGCTCCTGTGGCATAGTGTGTACTTTGGGGTACACTTAGGATTATGAGCACTATTTTACTATGGCTGAAATAATAAACCTATGTCAACAATCAATACAGCCTTTGAAAGTAACAAGAGCTGCACAACATTGTGTTGATTATCTTATATGGATCGTGTTCTTAAATAATATCAGGGCTTTGGTAGAAGTGCTTTGTCTGCTCCATGCCCATTAATCATGGGGACCTTCCTATAAACACTGTGCAGGTGGGAGGACAGCAGAGCCACCTCCTCACAGAGCTGCCCTAAGACTCATGGGGGAATTGCTTACCCATAGGTAAACATGACTAGACTGTTCCCCGGTTTAATTTTGATCTTGTACTTCAATTCCTGGGTTTTGCCATTTATAGACAAACTGGAAAGGCTGCTCTGTTCGCTCACACTGTCGTTCCTGGAGTCAGCCAGTGTTGTTTTTCTCCTTTCTTTCTGTAGTTACCGTGCTAGCAATATTTAATGAGCTGCACGCTGATGTTGATCTCTATGCCCTTCTGTTTGGGGAGAGCGTGTTGAATGACGCTGTTGCCATTGTATTATCTTCGTAAGTAACTTCATGAATTTCTACTCTGAAATTACTTAATTGCTTTTGGTATTTGTCTAAAATAAATGCTTTTTCTGAGAAATGTCATTTTAAATTTAAATGGATTGTCTTGAATTGAATTAATCACTATTGTAAATGTTTTCCAAGATCCCTAATGCATATATATGCCAGAATGACATACACGCCTTCAGTATGGGATTGTCTCTGTTGCTCAGGTGGTGTTCTTACAGAATAAAACTTTTCTGATGCCACTTTTAACTTCTCATTAACTCTCTCTCTAGATCTATAGTTGCCTACCAGCCAACAGGTGAAAATACCCATGCTTTCGATGCAGCAGCGTTTTTCAAGTCCGTTGGTGTTTTCCTGGGAATATTCAGTGGTTCTTTCATGATGGGAGCAGTGACAGGGGTTGTGACAGCTCTGATATCCTTTTTCACATTTGGCTCCTCTAGCTGATATGTGGGTGTTATTTCCTGTTTCCAGTTATAGCCAAACATCATAACATGATGCGCTTTGCATAACCTGTTCTGTTCTCTTGAAGCTTACTGCTGCAGTTTAGTTAGATCTCTGAAGTGCTCAGCAAGAAATTTTTGTGGGTTTTGTTTTAGGCTCAGGTAGTAGATCTTCAGCCTGGCCTCCTCCAGAAATCATGACTCTTCTTCAGGAAAAAAATTAAGGGTCTTTGCTTTCAAACTGGTCACAATAACCGTCTCTATACGTATCCCATCTGCCTAGACTTCTGAACACTGACTTGAAAGGGCTAAAATGTGATGTTTTAACCAATAATCATGACCCTGTGACTTTCATATTAAGTCTCAACTGTACCTTGTTATATATACACTGTGCACATTTGTCTAACATAATGGAACCCCTTTAAGCATGAGGGGGAAGCTGTGCTGTTGATGCTTTAATGTTGGGTCTTTCAGTTCCACTGATCTGCAATCGATGTGAGCCAGAACCATGACTCTTCATTTGGCTTTTAGGCAACCAGCCGTCCATAGTTCTAGCTGCTCAAATGCAGTTGCTGTAGTTTTTGGCTTGCTGACTGAAATGCATTTGGATCTACTTTGTAAAATCATGCTTCTGAAGCAACAACTGGTCCTTGCTGTTTCTAATGCTTGTGCTCAGGAGGTTGATGGGAGGCTGTGAGAGGGGAGGCTGTTCAGGACAAAGCCTCTGTGGTAGCATTTTGTGTGTTGTGTGGTTTGTTTGTTTGTTTTTCTGTTTTCAAAAATTTTTGGTAGGTTTTTGTTAATTTGTTTGGTATGTTTGTGGGGTTTTTTTGGGGAATGGATTGCTCAAAATTATACAACTTTATGTATTTATTTTCTTTTGGAAACATCCTTAATGTCATGCAATACTTTAGAAGCAAACTGTAAATTTGTATTTTGTGCTTCATAGCTGACCAGAACCCCTAAATTATGAATTTTGTCAACAGACTCTTATTCCCATAACTGTGAAGTATCTGTAACTGTACCTCCCTAAGTAAGGAGTTTCATGCAATCATGCATTGTCCTTTGAAAATAAACAGAACACTTCATTTCCAAATGATGTAGATAATATACAAGGACTTTTTCTGGCTTTCAGCAAATTGTCTGTGGTTACTTTTAAAACAGTTGAAGTATTGTGTCACTTTGTATCTTTTTTTTTTTAAATTGACAAATCTGCCTATTTGGAAAGAAGTAAAACAGAAGGCCGTGTCTAAGGAATAATAATTTACTTTCAAATTAACACCTCAATTTAGTCAATTGTAAGAAAGAATAAAACATTTTCTTTTCTTGCCTTTCCTCCAAAATGATGAGTGCAGGTTTTAATTCCAGATTTAATGAAATGTTTTGGTATTCTTGTTTACAATAACAGAAAGGGGAACAAACAGTTTGACTTACAAAACTGCCAGAAAAGACTGCAAATGAGAAATTCATTGTGACAAGGACCCATGCCAAACTTTAGTGGAAGAAGGTTCAACCTCTTCCTCTCCCATGGAGTGACTGTGGCTATCCAGTTTCCTTAAGCATCCATGAATACCTCTTGACCCAGGCACTGGGATTATCTGAGCGTTCTAAATGTTGCTGTGGTGGATGTTGCTGCTTCTGAAGCATGACCTTAGAAAAATAGGTCTGTTTCAGGAGAGTGTGGTGGGGGGCAGAAACCCAGACGAGTTCAAAAGTTTTAGAGGTGGTTTCTGTGGAGAGTTAAGTGCTCTTGCTGTCCTCCAATGTAGATTTCAGAGAAGATTATTCTAGTTGTCAGCACAGCTGTCTGCACCTCAGATACAGTGTGCTCTTCAGTGTTCACCTGCTGCCAGGGTAGTGCTGAGGAAAAAAAAAAATTCTATAAGTATTTGAAAAAAAAATTTGTTGTATGTGAAGAGCTAAATTTAACACTGCTGAGATCTGCTCTACTTCTTCAGTAGCTGTCTGAATTGTTAATTCAGTGTGTGTTTTGATGTTCCTCAAGTTTCACTCTCCTCTGCAAGATGAACTTTTTTCTTTCCATTAAAAGACTGAGCTGCTCTGAGCTGGCTTTTCTTCTAAAACACATCAGCACAGAGAGAGGTAATACATTTTGTAGGCAGTATTTTTGTTTTGCCTCAGAAGTACTGAAGTAGCCACGCTTGCTGGAAAAGACTTGTTAAAAATCTGAGCAGAAAAATTCCAAAAAATCTACTTCATCTTAGGGTTGCTGTAGTCAAGAACAGCCCCGTGAATTAAATTCTGAATGTATTTTATGCTTTATTCAAAGATGGCAGGGGAACTCTTTATTAGGGTTTGCAGGGGGAACCAAACATTCCCTCACCAATCCCCTGAAAAACTAAGACACACACGATCTAAAAGGAACACCAGGTATATATCCCTTCCCTGCTAGCACTTCAAAGGGAAACATGGAGTAGGATAATATTACCCTTAAGAGGGAGAGCCACACTTTATTTCATGGATATGCAGGAAAGATATGCAAAACTGATTGTTGCAAGGGGATACCTTGATTTTGAAGTTTGCCTTGATGTGTTGGAATTCATGTTTTTCAGCATCAAAAGTGTGTGTGTGTGTGTGGGGGTGCAACTAGCATTGGTTGTGAGCACATAAAAGTGTTTTCCATAAATAGTGGTTACAGAGAAGCCAAAGTATTTTTTTTGATCCCTTAACAAGTGACTTAACGTGACGAAGTTTACCAAGTTGCACTGCTTCCCCCTGCTGGAAACGGCACTCTTCTTCTTAATGTCCTGGAGCACTTTCTTGCTTGCAGAAGCTTGTGGATTTACTGGTGAGTTGAGATTCAAACACACGGAGACAGAAGTCCTGTCCATCTTAGCAACCATTCTTTGACTTTCTCATTGAAACTTTTCAATGAGAAAAATTATGTTTGTGCTTAAGGCCTTTTTTTTTTTTTTCTTTCTTTCTGTTCAATGTCTGTTGAAGGTGCAGCTCACTGTGTAACAAAGGCTTTTAAGAGCAATTGTTTAGTTTCAACACCACCTCCCTAACCTGGAATCTCACTCACTTGAAAATAATATTCATAAAATCTCAAGGTTAAGGATGATGTATAAATTTAATGGAACTTGGGAAGAGAAAATGTGATGGACCACCAGTAAACAGGCTGATTTTCACGTGTGACTCCATTCACAGGTGTGGTGGCTGTCCTCTTCTGTGGGATTACCCAGGCACATTATACATACAATAACTTGTCAGTTGAATCAAGAAGTCGCACTAAGCAGGCAAGGATGTCTTTTACCTTTTGTACAGTGTACTACTGTAGTAGTCTGTGTACTGTTGTTTTGACAGCATCTTTTTTTACTTGGCCTTTAACACGGTACTCTTTTTCTCCCTAGCTCTTCGAGGTATTGCACTTTCTGGCTGAGAACTTCATATTTTCTTACATGGGTTTAGCACTGTTTACTTTCCAGAAACACATATTCAGCCCAGTTTTCATTATTGGAGCTTTTGTATCCTTTTTCACTTTGTGTGAGGTTTCTCTATTGTCTCATGTGCCTGAAAACTTGTGATGTCTGTTGGCTTTACCAAACAGAGAATGGTGGCTGGCCTGAGTTTTTCTGATGTCTTGCAGCAACAATAATTTTGAGAACAATTTTTGGTTACGCCTTACATCGAAGCCCTAAGGCCTCTGTACCACACAGGTGTTGTTCTGTACCTGAGTAGTGTTAGAAGTCATATAATTTCACTAGGTAAATACATGCATACACTTTACTGTGTCATTTGATCACTGACAGCCAACACTGCTTGTGTTGCTTTTGTATTTCAACTTTGGAGGCCTGGAAAAGGATGCATTTTTCTCTTCACTTCCAAGGGTCCCTTGGAAAAGCAAGCAAAGTTCAAATATATAAGGAGGATTGTGGGTGAATAGACTATATTTGAACAATGTCCCAAAGGTAGAGGTCAGCCTGCTGTAGAAGCAGGGCTTTTGGCAATGGAGATAAAACCCAGTGAAAGCATATACATACCATAATCTAGGATATACTTATTTTCTCTCCTCTTTCTGTTATTTTCTCTCATCCCTATACTGCTTCTCAGAGTTTATCACATTTGTCTTTTTTTTCCTTTGACCTTTTACTTTTTTCTGAAATAGTAATACATTTTCTCATGTGTCACTTCATGTCCATTTTTCTGACCTAAAAAAATAAGGACATGAACAGAATATTTGTGTTTGGTATACTAAGCATTGATATTTTTCACCTTTGGTGTGGCCTTCCATGTTCTCTCATGTTATGCTATCCATCTTGGGTTTATTTTAAGTATTTATTACTTTCTTTCCTACCCACTTATCTTTTATTATGTTTCCCACATCTTTTTCTACCATTGCACTTAACCTCTGTTGCCTCTTTAGTGATTTTCTACCTTTGTGAAGAGGGCAGCTCTGCATTTAAAAACTTGGTTATATTAGCTAAAATATGTATTCTGTGCTATGAGTTCTGTGTTCACATAATTGGTGAAAGTCTGCTTTGGATATGTAGATATAGCAGGAACACTTGCTATCATGATGTAAACCTCTCACAAAAACAAAAGCTTCAGATTAAAGCCAGGTACCCAAGAGTGCATACCTCAGGAAAAAGAAATCCTTAACCCTCAGCTGTGAACAGATTGCAATCTTTTTGGGAAGAGCTGCACACATCTACCCCCTCTCCTTCTTGTTGAATTTGGGCAGAAGGCATAAGATCAACTGGAGCTTTCAGCACATGATGATGTTCTCAGGTAAAATGCTTAGTAATGCAAAAAAGGCTTATTTTAAACTCAAAAGAAATTGATAGTGTTACCTTCTCCTTTTATAATCTGCTTTCGTTCATCCTAAATGTAAAGCTTACTGATTGTTGCAGGATGCCATCATGTATCTTTCAACCTTTACAGAAAGCGTGTCATGTCTGGGATGAGCGACACCTTGAAATGCTTTTTGCTTGTGGCAAACAGTACCTCATGTTGGGAATAGAGCATTTTCATCTGAAGTGTACCTGAAGGGGATGGGGGAATTGGGATGTACCTCTTATAGAAGGTTATTTCCCTAGCTGAGATGAAATGCTGTGCAGAAACAGACACTTCCTGAGAAAATGGAAGTGTATTTATGGATGCCCTCTCCCACTTAGTTGGAGAAAGCAAGGTATTTGACTTGAACTTCATTATAATTTCTGTCACACGAGCAACTGTTCGAGTTTGTCATCCTGAGCAAATTATGGAGTGTGTGTCTAAACATGTTCATCCTCAAAAAGTTCCAGAGAATCCTCTGCACATAGGAGGGAGTAAAGAGGACAAAGCCAGACTGCTTCCAGTGGTGACCGGACAGAGGCAATGGGCACAAACTGGAACACACGAGATTCCCTCTGAACATCAGGAAACACCTTTTACTATGTCCAAGCATTGGCACAGGTTGCCCAGACAGGTTGTAGCATCTCCATCCATGGAGATATTCAAAAGCCATCTAGACATGGTCCTGTGCAACTTACTGCAAGTTGAGCGGGGGTTGCTTGAACAGGGAAGGTGGACCAGATGACCTCTAGAGGTTCCTTCCAGCCATAACCATTCCATGATTTCCCTACATAAGAAGTCTGTAGGTGGCCAAATGCCATGGCTTGTTCTTGCTAGTGAAGTTTCTCCTGGGATGCAGGGAAGAGGGGGAACATATAGTTTGCCTGTGAACATGTTAATAACTAGAATATTTTTCAAGTGATAAAAATTTCATACCAAGAATTCACTATTCAATTATGGATTAAACTGGGAAATTGTGCATTTTCATCTGTATTCAGGATGCTGCCTAATTTCCACAATATGCTTTGCTGTTGTCCACAACTTGTTTGTCTCTGCGTTCCTTTCCCGTTATTTTGGGAATATTTACACCTTTTCTTAGCACTTCTGGATTCTCCAAGTTACAGAAAACCAGGAGGGCAAATTAGGCTGTAAATCCTGCCCAGGCATAATTTATCAGGGAATCTGAGGAAATCAAAACCTGCTGGAGCCAAGTGCTTTCTGTCTGTCACTTTATGCTTGTGGGGCAGGGATGGAGCAAGGGAAGTTGCTGTCTTACCAGCAAGCTCAGTTGCACTTCTAAGCTCTGTTATTTCATTTTTTTCTGATAGGTCTCAGGGGAGCCATGGCATTTGCTCTGGCTATACGAGATACTGCTACCTACTCACATCAAATGATGTTCTCCACAACTCTCCTCATCGTCTTTTTCACTGTGTGGATTGTTGGTGGGGGTACAACTCCCATGCTGTCATGGCTGAACATCAGGTTGGTATGCAGCTGTGTGCTGAGGAGACTTTGCTTTTCTAGAGGCAGCTGTGCTAATTTGGCATAGTTCTACAGAACTTGTCTGATGAGTGCTAGAGGCATTTGGAACATGATATTTTAGATATATCTATAAATATCTAGGTACAGATATATATGTAGGTATTTAGAACATGATATTTTATAGAGGAAGGTGATCATGCAGGCTGGTGAAGAAAGTGTACTGATGCTGCTGGGATTCAGCCTAAAGCACTCTGACATACCAAGTAGGTATCTAGGTCCTTGTCAGCCCATGGAATAATGTTGCCTGATAAAGCAGCCCTATACTGGAAAGAAAGAATTCATCTAGTCCCATATAAACTTTTCTTTGTGTTATACTAAGACAGTTCCGTGTGTTTTGGCTCTTGGTAATGGCCTTATTATAGTTTTTAAGTTCAATGGAGTCTTTAGTGGGTGGTGCTAAACTGAATGTGCTTTAAATATCATCCAAACAAACCTGATGTTATCTAAGCAACTGCTAGTCTTCTGGAGTGTTTCCTCCTGTTCTGAGGAGATCTGTGAAAATGGTAAGTTGCATGATTATGGAGGTTTGACCATAAATCATGGCTATTACTTAGTACTTTTGGGCTGCAAGTACTTTCATGTTTGAGAACACTTATCGACAGAAGTGCTAGAGAATCATGAATCAATCATTGCTAAAGATGACATACATCGTAATTCTGAAATTTTTGGCAGTTGGGGAGGCACAGACAAATAGAGTGGAATTAAAATAATACAGGTTGTATAAACCCTGAAGTGCATTTTTTAATATGCAACTATTTGTGTTCTTTGGCACTTGAAAGCTTTGTTTTTCTTGCTTTCTAATTTTGCTGACCAGGAAAAAACATCCTACGTTAAACCAGTTTCAATCTTTAGAAGAACTGATCATTCTTAGGGACTTAGGTTCTGCTTTTGGAAAACTTAAGTGAACTGCTTGTGGCAGGTACTTTAAAAAAAAGGGATAGGAATCCCAGAAAGGCTTGTGAGTGAGCTGTTCTCATAGAAAGCAGTATGATTCTAGCTGGACACAGACATTTCAGCAATGATTTGCATTATCAGCTCTGACTGACAGCAAACATTGGGAAATCGGGGTGGTTTTGTGTTGGTTTTTTTTTTTTTTGTTTTGTTTTGTTTTGTTTTGTTTTTTGTTGGTACCAAATGAATCCATTTCTGTCCTTTAAAAATATCTTTAAATGTGAGTTCCAAATGCTTGGCTAGCACACCAGAAAGAAGCAACACTTCATGTAGTCAGACTCTCTAGAGGTCACCCAGTGTCAGCTCGGTTGTATCATTAATGATTGTGAGATACCTCATCCTCATGATACTTCTGAGCCCACGAGAGAGCTGTACAATGACTTTTTAAAAAGGTACCTGGACTAGTTGCCATGTGCAGCCTTCCATTTGGCACCTCTGACAACAGGAGGTGTCTGTCTGATGATGGTATATAAGAAGCAACTGTACTGATGTGGAAGCAGGGGAGGTGCAGTGTCTGTGTATCTGTCAGTGTGCGTGGACTCTCCAGGGCGTGGGGTATAAGGAGTAGGAGATGAGTTCTGGCCAGCAGTACACAGGTAGAAGTGCTGCTTGTGGTCTGCTTACAGTGCATGAGCAAAGTCTGCCAGGATCACCCTGCAGCCTCTGCAGTGGCTAATGTGAGGATATTCCTTGTCTGATCACCAATTAAGCTGATTCCAAAGCATTTTCCTAAACATAGATGCAACCAGGTAAACAAAGCTTACTCTAACAGCCCTCATCATAAGTGCTGCTGACAGCCTGAGCTGCCAAAAGGCAGTTTGCCAAACCATAGATTTGAGTGATTGTATTTAGGTTTGGGGTTTGGTGGGAGTGGGGTTTTTTAGGGGGCTTTTTTTTTGAGATTTACCCACCCTTGCTGATAAGCAGTAACTTCAATTGTCATTTGTCTGTAATATTTGACAGAAAAAAATTATTCTTCTCTTAATGGGGAAGTTAATAACAAGGGAGGTCTATGCAGAAAGCATTTTAGAGAACTGCACAGATCTGCCTACAGCTGGCTCGATAGGCACTGCCCTACCAGTGCACTTTCAGGGACCTTGTAAATCAGCTTTGTGCCAGGAGGTGGCGGCCGTGTACAGCTGATTGAGCATTAGAAACTCTGCTGGTGAAGTACCCTCTGTGCTAGAGCCCTTTCTGTCGGAAAACAAGAAGTCCTGTCTGACACTGCCAATTTAAAAGAGGGACAAATTAGTTTCCAGATGAATTTTAGAATTATGCCACTTTTCTCTTTTCCATCCCTTCATAACCAGTGGAAAAGGTAGACAGGAGGAGATGAAGATAAGATGCTGTGCCAGTGCTTCACTCAGAAGCACAGTGTGTAGTGCTAGTGCAGTCCTGAGGCTGCACAGGAGGTAACTTGTCCCTGGGATGCTTTCTGGGCCTTGGCACTTGCCCATTAGGTTAGATTGCCAGAGGATGGAAATAAGTAGTAATGACATACAGAATTATTTAGCAGAAAAGAGATTAAAAGATAAAAAGTGGTTTGCTTCTTAGAAAAAGTAAAGGGATGTAGGAACCCAATACCATTTTTATGTTGAACTTCAATGTCAGGATTTGTGTGGACTCCTAAAAGTCCAATTCTGGCGTGAAGTTCATACCAGTTTTATACTGGTTGACTTTGGCCTTTATGGAAGGAAGAATGGAGAGCCATTACAAAGTCCTCATGAAGTAGTTGGCCTGGCTACAGTGTAGATGTGAATAGAGGACAAGGACCTGCTTTAATGAAAAGTCACCCAAGCTGACTGAGCCTTTAGTCTGGTTTATCTTGCCTGGCCACAGCATGACAGAGTGACATTACTGTCATGCTGTGGACACTTGTCTTCTCATCAGGGGGTTTTCTGGGTGGCCCCCTTTAAGAGTTCCTGTGGACTGGGATGGGCTGAGCTCCTTCCCTGGGAAAGGCAGGCACATATCTCTTGTACTGAGCAAGTCAGAGGAGCTGAGACAGACATCAGCACCAAAGGGTCTTATTTATGGTTGTGCCTGCTTGACTTAAGTAAATTATATCAGAGAGCTGACTCCAGCCAAGACTTTCAACCTGGCTTGATATCACCATGTTCATGGGGAAGCAGCTGCATGCACGCAAGGGGCAACGCCTACACAAGGATCCAGAATAGCTTTGCTGTGGTTTAGAGGCAGAGGCACATGTTTCTGACCACACTACCAGTTGCGTAGCTAATGGAATGTGTGCTCAGTTCTTTACTTGCTGTTTTGTCCCTTCTTGCCCATGATATGCAGTATTAAAAGTGGGTAAAGGGTAGAGAGGCTAACACGAAAATCAAATTTTGTAATTTTGTAAGTAAAAAGCAGCATAAGGAGGAAACAGGCAAAAATATCCTCTGCCTCCTCTTGCTGTTCTGAATGTCTCGAGCATTTGGACAAGCAGGTATCTTTCCATATAGGATATGTAACCAGTGTACCCAGGGCCCACTGATCAGGCTTTAATGTACAGCTGAGCAAAGGACCTATGGTTTGTAGCAGAGACTAAACTTCAGTTTCCTGCTTAACTGGTTGGAAATTTGAGATCATGACAGCAAAATCTTGGTAAAAAAAATAATGGAATCTTCAGATGCTTTTGATTTCTGCCACTTGATGCTGAGCAAATTAAAAATTAACACCAGAAACTGGAGTTAAAGTCATAATGTCATGTGTTTGAATTTGTTGGCTCTCTATCAGTGAGATGTACCCAAGTGTTTGGGTGGTAAACAATTATATTTTCCTAGTAGTAGATGTTTTTTTTCTTAGAAACTAAAGCATGATTTGGATATTAAAAATATAGTCTCATCCTTTGAGACTTAAAGGCAGAAACAATTTCCTGACTGAAGCTTTAACAGTTTCAGCAAACTTAAAGCCCTGTAAACCAAAACCACTGGCAAAATCCCTCTTTTCTAAAAAAATAGCTGACTTCTCGTTTCACTTATCTGTTAGGGGGAAAAAGGGAACTCCTAGCATTTGTATTGCAAAACAATGTGGTTTCCATTTTTCATTAAAGGTTAATTACTGGGTTTCTTCATGTTGAATGATGCAACACATAGATTAATGCCTTCTTCTCCATAATCTGCTGAAAGTGAGGAAGCTAGTGCTTATTTTAATTAAATAATTTCAATTGTACTTAGCAATCTTTTTTTCTGAATCTCAAATATACTCTTTTTCTGAATCTCAAAAATACCTTACAATTTAAAATATTTTAGGTATCTTTTTACCATAAAAGCCAAAGTTTGTATAGACAATGTCAACTTAGATATTTACTGCCTTATGTCTGACTTTGCATGTCCAATATTTTGAAGAGCTTTCTATTTAAAGCTCTTAAATTTAAATTTATTTCTATTTTCTAATTCTTTTTCTTTAAAAGAGCAAACTGAAAAAGAAATCTGGAAACACTAACTCTCACACAGTTACTATGTGAACTACCTAATTATCTGGGCTAGTGGTAAAACTGTCAGCTTGGTGGAAGTCTTAGGTTATACTCTATTTTACCCAGGGTGGTCCAAACATAAAATGTGTATCCCTTAAATACCACGCCTCAGTGTGCTTCCATGGCAGGAGGCAAGTGTTGATGCTGTGATCCAGCCTCATGCTACATTCCAGACTGGTGTGGGGGATGTCTGATAGGAGGTTACATCCTCCTGTTTTGCAGCCCATTTCTATTATTCTATAACTTAGATCCTTCAGTGCCTTCTAGCCACTCTCTGCTGCCTTGAAAGGTAGGTTCACAGGCACAGGTGTTGTCCTCTGTTGTGAGCTTTTTCCTTGCTCATCTCATATTCTGGACTGTTTTTCCACTCTTCCTGCTTCTTTCCCAATCTTTAATTTTTCATCAGCAATCTTAAATCTCCTTTAATGGCAGTGCAGTGCAGCTTCCAAACCTCCAGCCTCACCCCTCTGGGCCTTTTCCTCTGGAAGTCTGGAACTAAGCATGGGAGGCCTTTCCTCATCTTTATTCATGTGGTCTGAAACATAGCAATTCACACCAGAGGAAAAAATTGTGGGGAAGGGCCAAATGCTGTAGGAGTTGGGTTGAGATACACGGGGATCATATGAGTTTAACTGTGAACCTCTGGCAAGCCTCAGACAGAAGTTTTAGGAGTCATTATCTTGGTTAAATCAAGAAATACCCAGAGAAGCTTGCAGGAATCATTATCTTGGTTAGGTGAAGTAAACAGACACCCAAAGGCATCCTAAAAACAACCTGAAAAAAACTTTTCTTAATTCCAGGGTTTTTTTAGTGATTAGGGGTTTCTGTTTTGTTTTGTTTTTAATGTGATGGTGCGAGTTCTCTTCTTCCTCAGTCACCTTCTGAAAAACAGCTGAATTCTTTGAAAACAGCTAAAATTTTCCGAAAATGCTGCACTTATTATAGACATCTGGGAAAACTTTAGTATACTAACTTGGCAAAGATACAGCAAAGAGAAAGAAATCATAGAAGGGAAGTTATTGAGCAGTTCTTAATTTTAGTTTTTGCTGTGCGTACGGAGCCATCTCAGAGTTGGCCTTTTGGAGCAGAGTGCTCTGACCTGGAGTGTATGTTGGTATGAGAGAAGAGCTATTGAACTTGGAATCCAAAACAAATCTATCGAAAGTCTGGTATTTGCCAGGGCATTCAAGGATTACATGAGTACCTGCTCATCGTATCACAAGCTATGGCCTTAAATATTTGGTTTGTCAAGATGTCAATCTGCAATCAGGGTGTGCTTTTTGTAAAGCGAGGCCTCTGTGGATTTCTGATCATACGGGCTTTTATTTCACATAAGCCAAGTTCATGATGCATGCCTTCATGGAAAAACGGGAGGAGACGGGGCAAGGAGGAAAAGCCCCACAAGCTGATGAGGAATTTGTGCGGAAATTACTAGAAGCCAAACATGCTTTCATTTATACCTAAAATCACACACACACACAACAGAGAAAGGCAAAGCAAGGAGTAAAAACACTCTGCTATGACTAGAGATTGATTATGTTAAAAATTGTCAGTTAAGTTTTAGTTAAACCAACAGAGTGCTTTAGAGCTTATTATCAGTTGGTTTGAACTGCTCTGAGACTAGGCAATATTGGTGACTCCTCTCAAAAATGCATAGCTTCCGGTACTTTTCCTGATTACCCTTTCTCTTTCAGACCATGTGCAGGTCTGAAGTGGTAGGAACTGTCTTAGACTGGATCTGTCTCTGTGCAGCAGCTCAGCTGAGGCTATTGAATCTGGTTTTCTGGGGGAAGTAGTCTGTCATTAATGCAGATGTTTTGCCATCCAGAATCTGAACCAATGAAGAATATTACTGGATACGTCAATCATAAATTGCTGCTGTTAATTTTTGTTTTGTCACGTTGTTATTGCTCTACCATTGTTGTTCATGTATGTTTTGTCTTATTTGTTTGGGTAGAGATTTTTTTGTTGTTGTTGGTTTGCTTTGTTTTGCTAAAGAGCTCTGTAAAGCACACATCTCATGAGCATTTTGTTACTCACGTTGCATTCTTGTACTGTACCAGAGTTGGTGACCATGTTCCATCGGTGGAAGAGATGAGTGAAAGCCGCTGGCTGTATTTCAGGTGACACCGTGCTTTCCTTGATACCAAATTAACCTGGTGCTTGGCTTTCTTCATCTTTGTAACACTAAATGTGTACTCTTTTACTCTACTGTGGCATGCTGCTGCTGCTTCTTTTCTGCAGAGGGCTGTAGGTGTTCCTCAGTTATGACTCTGTTCTCTTACTCTGGGCTGCGAGTGTGGATCACACATTGTCTTCAGTTTAAAAAAATGAAACCACAAAACACCACATACTTGAATTCTGTGTATGGGTATTTAATGAAGCAAAATTGGCATCTCTGGCCTTGGATGGCTTGAAAGCTGAGAAATCATGGATGTGATCCTATGGTCCCTAATCACACAGGTATTCTTAAGCATTCCATGGGGTTATTTCATATAGCTCTTCAGGCTGGAAAGGACTTCATAGATGATTTAGCCCAGCCCATTTGGAGATATATTTTAAAAACTGAAGGTTTTCACATTGCTTTATAGGAAGATACTAGTAAGAGTGGAGATATCAACCAAAGAAGACTAGGATTCTGGTTTTTTTTGTTTTGTTTTGTTTTTTTTAACTGGTTAAAGAGATAAAGTTAGATAAATCTCTAACTGACATATATAGGATGACAATTTGTATGTATATGTATGCGTATACATATAGAGAGAATATTTATGTAAAGAAAGCTCCTTGGGATGGGGTAATGGTAAGCTTTTCATGTATCTTGCCACCCTTGAAGGTTCCCAGCAAACTGCCAAATTTGCCAGAGCTGCAGTATGTTAGCTTGTATCGAGAATCTGAGAAGGAATTTCTATTACGGTCATTCTTGGCTGTTGCCACAGTAATTACATATGGTAGAATGCAATAGAGCCTGGTGTTTTGGTAACTTGTCATCTGTGTGTTGCAGGGTCTCTCAAGGGTTTCTGAAGTATCAAAAAAATGGTCCTACCCATTAAAAAATGATGTAATAGAGAACTTTAGGTAGTTTTATTTGTTGTTTTTTTTTCTTTGTGGTTTTGTTTGTTTGTTTGTTTTTACTATTCATTTCCATCCATTTAGTTTCCATTTTGTGTGTCAACCATTTTCTTACAATTGTACATAGGCTTAGCATTTGAGGGATCAAATCCAAGCAAATGCTTCCCTAATGTGTGATGCTGGAGTAGTAGCTGCAGAATAAGGACCAAGAAGGTTGAGTCAGCTGGGGGCAGAAATGTGGTGCTTTAGTATTGGTCATTAGGAGCTCTCATTAGGAGAGCTCAAGATTAGTCTCTTTGCTGTTACAGAGCTCTTAAAGCATGAAAAGCCTTTTGTGCCTTAAAAAATATTTCCATTAGGGAGGAGTGAAGAAACAGACTAAAAGAGGATTAGTTTTTGCTGTAGCATACTCATGCCTACAGGTTCCAGTGCATTTCCCAAGACAGAAATAGAGGTGTCTGAATTTAATGTACAGTAACTATCTGTACTGAAATAATAAGGTATCTACCCAAGTGATTCCAATGGGGGAAATAGATGATTTTTTCACCTGAGATATATATGCATCGTTACAATTAAAAGACTGCTTATATTCTTCATGTGAAATCTTTTTAAGAGTTCCTTATTTGAATTGCTACTTTACACCCTTAGGGAACCCACACACGACTGCTGCAAAGGGCTTTCAGAAAAGGTGGAGGGTGGGGAAATGAAGGTGCTAGCTGGCACCTGCACTACCTTGGCCTTGGCAGTTCCACAGCTGACATGCCCTTCAGTCCCCATCACACAGATTGTGCCTCTTCAACAAAATAGTGTTTTCAACCAGCACTTCCTCATCTGCCTTTCTCCTATGGAGTTTGAGCAAAACACAGTGGCCATTGGCAAGGCTACCCTCTCTGTGCCCCTGATCTCTGGGAGATCTGTGTAAATCCATCCATTAATGGTTTTTCTTAATTTGTAAAACTGGTTAAATAAATGAGAACTGATATTAGCCTTTACAGCACATTTAAATCACAGGAAGTTTTTTAAATGTGCCTTAGGATGTGAGATGGATTTTTAATTTTAGCCACCAGAAACAAATCAATGTTGAAGATATATTTGCATCAGCTTTACACTCATACTTTTAATTATGGAAGTAGTTAAGTAAGGATGAAGTAACTAAATGTTTTCTATGCTTCTCTTCACTGTAAAGGAGGTTGGGAGAGACTGAACATGGTTTTGGTATTGTTTTGCTTCAGATGATAAAGATGAGATCTTAGAAATCAGGGGACAGGGTCTGCAAAAAATGTGGTGTCAGTGTGTATATACCTTGAAACTTAAACAGGCTGACTTTACTGTTTTAAAAACAAAGCTGCCTGCACAATTCATGCTAGAGAAGAGGATAAGAGACTGTGCATACAAAAATAGTTATGAGAATTCAAAATGGAAATGTATTTTGTTAGTCTGTGAACTGAGGAACACACTTTAAAAGTGAAATTTAAAAAAAAAAAAAGGTGATTTATGGGAAAGAATTATTTAGAAATACTAAAAATATAAATTCACCTGAAAAATAAGTTTGACAAAGTTTTTAAATTACAAGTTTATATGTACTACTTCAATATTGAAAGAAACATCTGTAGTTTTTTTCTAAAACCTAAACATTTTAATATAGAAAAACCTAAACATTTTAATATGGAAAAACTCTCTTTTCCTCTTCAGCACAGCAGTGAACCCAAACACCTGGCCTGTGACGTACTATGACTTTTCACTAAATATATGTTTGTCCTGCTTTGGTCCTTCATTAAGCCCCCTTTCCCTGCCTAAGGTCAGTTAAAATCCTCGAAACAAATGCGCAACCTTGTAAGTCAGGTAAAAGCTGAGACACACTGAATTACTTGGTTTTCTTATGTACTGTGAAGTGAATGGGTAGCCCAGGGGGTAAAAACTATTTAGAGAATGCAAGCTATGTTCATCTTTTGGAACAAGCTTCTTGAACTCACTATTCTCATGAGTCAGGTTGCTGTGCATAGCGGATTAAACCTTCCCCAATGTGCAGTTGGAGTTAAGACAGTCACAATTATTTTTCTTTTATTTTCATGTGTAATCTCATATACATATATATTGCCATATCAGGATGATTTCCTGATGTTGCTAGTCATCTTTCTGCATGAGGCTTTATTGGGTAACTAGTTTGGCTGCAGAAAACCCTTCTTATGTAGTGACAGCCTAAGCAATAACACCTCAGCCCTTGTAACCTCTCAGAGCTCTTGTGTGTGGTGTTTTATTTCAGCATGTGTTACAATCCAGTACTCAATGTGTCTATCCAGTATTCCCTTAAACTGATGAAGCTTTTCGGTTCTGGGGCTGGTCAGTGCCAATGGATTCCCAGGCTAAATGTGCCTGAAGTTCAAAATGACTCTATATGTGGAAAAAGGAAGTGATGAGGAAAGACAAGAGACACAGAAAAAAACCAAAACAAAACACCAAGCAGAGGACTGGGTCAGCACTGGTTTTATATGAGACCTATTGCAAGGTGGCCTTCTGGATTTTCCCTTTTACATTAAGTTGTGTGACATCTTCAACTGGCTGTGAGTCCACTGGCTGTGCATCCACAAGGATGACTTAAAACTTTAGTTCAATGTCTACTTTTCTTCTTCTATTGTTCCATTAGAAAATGCTGCCCTGCAAGCTATTTGAAGGGTGCTCTCTGTTTGATCCATCCTTATGCAAAGCATTGTGTCCCCGAGACACACAAATGGTATGGTCATGCCATCAAGGTTCTGTTGGTTTCTGGTGATCCTCAGGGCTGTTGCATAAACACTGTGGCTATAAACAGTTTACAAAAAGTCTAAGTACCAAGGAAATTGCACTAAACTGGCTCAGTCCATTCTAAAAGAGGAGATATGAAGTTAACAAAAACTTTTTGTCTGAAAAGGCTATTTCATGAGTTTTCCCACGCTTGCTATGCAATGACTGAAACACAACATGTTTGAGACTGACAATCTTATCTAACATTTGAGGTTGGAGGTTTAGGTTCTCTCAGAGATGACAGAGATTAAGTCATGAATAGGATTTAAAACTAGACAAGTCCAATCTTAACAAATAGCTACCCCCAAAACAGACCAGAAAAACCTGAACATAATTGCAAGGATAAATACCCATCTTGGATAGGAGCCCTATGTGAAAGCAGGGTTCACTAATGAGATGCTTGCTAACTATGTAAAAGTGAGTAGACAGCTTCTTCTTCATGTATTATTCTGTCATCACACACCCTCTCATTGCACAAACAGTGCCTCAGGTGGGAGGCTGGACTACAGGCCACTCGTTAATCCACTGTGGCTGCTTTTTGTTAGGTGAATGAATCTTACAAAGTTTTTTTGATAGTATTAAATAATAATTTTATAGTATTTTTGGTGCTTCCCACAGGGTATTAAAACTTTTTAAAAAGTCATATATTTTAGCCATTCTCAAGCTTATCTGGCAGTTATTTGCTGTGTCAAATATTTAGGTTGGGCTTTATCCTTAGTTTCTGGTTTCTTCCTGCTGGACATGAGGGATGTCCTCCACTGAAGATGATGTCACATACCTTTTAAGCCAAAAATAGAGTTTTCCCTTGTCCTAAAAGAATTGGCAACAAAGGTAAGCAGTTAAAATTGATGCCAAGATGGAGTTAAAGCTGTTGTCTATAGGCAGGTGCTTCTTGAGTAAAAAAGTTTCTTGTTTATAGCTATGTAACTACAGGGGAATAATGGACAACTCTTCCTCAAACTATTCTTATAACCTCTCTGAATGCAGCTTTGCTGGGTGCTTAAAGTGCTTTTAAAATGCATTCTGCCCAACTTACAGCATTTGCAACTCTTAGTAACACCTCTTGCTTTGTTTTCCTAATGTTTCTGTAGGGTTGGGGTTGACCCAGATCAGGATCCTCCACCTACTAATGACAGCTTTCAAGTCTTACAAGGAGTAAGTAATTACATAACTTCTCTATTAGGCTGATCTAATTTTATAACTGAGATGATAGAGAACTGCATAAGTTGAATGCATAGATAAAACCTTTCTCTTCTAGCTGGCAAGTCAGTAACAGATTTCGCTGTATAATATTCAAGTAGTGCCCACTGAACAACATTGTGGTATTGGGTGTAAGGCTGTCATGTTCAAATTTTTGTGTATATGTATATATATATGTCTACAAGCCTTCCCAAATCTACTAATATACTCTGTTTAACAATGTGCTTTCCTACTGCTTCCCCCGCCTACCCAACATACTTGCTTTTTAGCATGCTACTGCATAAATAGTTCTTCCCAGTTCTGACACAGAGGCTCCTGTTCAATAACTGATGCCAATTTTTGGCCCTTGGACTTGCTTAGAATCAAAGATTTGCTAATCCAATCTCAGCTCTTGTATGCTGTAGCACAAGCCAGCTGGCTCCTGCCTGTACTACCTTCCACCTGTATGAAGCAGAAGGAGCACTGGAAAACTGCCATCTATATTCAGCAAATTGTTGCTGTGAATCTTTACAGAGGCCTTCCATGCATCAACAACAATCCAAGAGTTGACATATTTCCCTGAAATATGCTGTTGACAAACAAGATCATTGGAAGAATGTTGTTCAAAGCAGACATTTTAGTTTTGCTCATTTGTAAACTCAGTGAATTTGCAGGAGTGAAGGGTCTGAAAAAACCCAGAACTCAACATTTCCCAAGGCTTAACTAGGAGTTTCCTCTGTCTAGTCCCTAGTTTGCATTTTCCCAGAGTTCTGTTTGACACTGATTGTTCAATAGCACAGCTGGTTGCTTATGTAGGAGCCTTCTAGAGGAAGCTGCGTGGCAGATGACTTTGGATGCAGAGGATGTTTAGGAAGCAAGTATGTGAACTCTGCTTTGTAAACCTCAAGTTCCATGATACTGATGTTCAGGCTGGTAACAGGTATGCACACTTATTTGGAATTAGCTTTCTTCTTAGTGATTTCTCCTGCCTTGCTTTTCTTTCTTCACATACTGTAAAGGTAAGAGGTACTGCTCAAAAAGATCTCTTTCCCTGCAGAAACTGCATTAGGCATGCCTGTGTTCTTTGTAGAAGCCTGTGTCTAGCACAAAAAATAAATTCTGAAATGGTGGAGTTAGCTACCAGAAAGGGTGAATTTTGGTTTATGTCTATTTGCAAGCAACCAGAAGTCCGTGCCTCAAGACACCTTTTACAATGAAGGCCACAAGTATTGCATAAAACCGAGGTTAGGAAGTGGTATCATGGTAAGATGGCCTTAGCCAGTTCAGACTGAGTTTGTCAGTAATTGAGGAATAGCTTTAACAGGAAACAGAGCATGGGTTTTCTGTTCTCATTCAGTGTCTGTTGTGGAAATATCTTGTTTGCTTTTTTCCCATGTAGACATAAAGAACTTACCCATTTTTTCCCTTTTTAACTGTGCATTGCATTCCTAATGGAGTCTCTTAGTCAGTTCCCTTTGGATTCCTCTGTATTTCACTAAGCCAAGATTAGCAGCATGTCACAGTTAAAGAAAATATATCATTTGGGGAGGGGAGGGAGTGAATGTATACTAAGCTTTAACTCCTCATGGATCATGGATTTTTTTACAGGGCAGTCCTGTCTTGTTCTTTTTCACTAGTTTGGAAGGTGATTCATACAAAGCATCCATCTGTTTTCCTGTGTTTAGCTCTGGCCTCTAGCCAAAAAAAACCCCAAACAGCCAACAAAACAAAACCAACAAGCAAAACAGCCAAAAAACCCCCAAACAGTAAAAAAAGTAAAAAACAAATGCAGCTGCAGACCAGCTGGTGTGATGACTTGCAGCAGAGCTAGTTATTATATTTAAAACTATTAGCCCTTCCAAGCTTGATCTAGCATTTCTGAGATTGGCATGGCTTCCATCAAATGTGATTTTTATCTGCATTTAATTTTAAGCATGTTTATTTTGAATGTGATATATTTCATCAGGTTTCTGAGAGTTGATCAGGTATGGTAATTTAGTTTCCTTTGAAGCAACAGGCTTAAGGAAAGAGAAAACCTAGAGTTAGACCTAGACCTAAAGCTAAGGGAACCAACCAAGCAATAAATAGGAATCAGTTTGGAATATCAATGAGGTTTATTTTTCAGTTTTGGAGTTATTTCTATATCCATTACTGCACTAACAGTGCAGGTGTTGCACTAACAATGCAGAGGTTTTAGGCTCTGGCAAACTTGGTGGGAGAGGGCTTGTTGAGGTAACTTGAGTGCAATGCAAACAGCCTGCTTCTCTGCAGTCATTTCTGGTCTTTCTAGGGAAACTAACTGTCTCAATATAAGCAAGACTCTGAATAGCATTCTTCTGCATTCCAAGTATTGAAGTAATTTGTTTTTTTGGACAGGAAACGTTGGAATGTAACATTTGGAGTTTTTTCTGTCTGTAGTAATTGAACATGTTTTTATCTTTTAGGATGGCCCGGATTCTGCAAGAAGGAACAGGACAAAGCAGGAAAGTGCTTGGCTCTTCAGGCTATGGTATAGCTTTGACCATAAGTATCCTTCTGAAAACACAGCTTAGCTTCAAGGCATGAAATGTTCACCTTTTTCCTTATGTAGCCTTAAGCACTTGATCTTTCTGTTTGACTCTCTCAAGTATTTGACAGGTTCAAGACATAGAATCGAAGACTGAACTCACCGGCTCAGCAGACAGACCTTTCCTTTCTCTAATGTATGTATGTATGTGACACTTGCTGGAGGACAGAAACCAGTCAGTTCTAGGAGCTGAAGTGCCTTCCCTAATCAATAAGACAGCCAATTAACTATTTCAGGTCCTCTGATTTGTTCTATTAATCTGTTCTCATCTTCACTGATGCTCAGAGCACAAACTAGTTTTTCAGTTCATGTACATGTCTAAGCCTCAATCATTGCTCTGCAGAGCCATCTGCTTTTGTGATGAAGTCCCAAATCTGTGTTTGATTTCTAAAGAGGACATTCTACATGAGATACAGCTTATCTCCTTAAGTATATCCAGAACTTACTATAGGTGTTAAAGCAGAGTGTCCCTGTGCATATATGGTACTGTAGAACCTTTCTGAAGCTATTATTGTACTATTTAGATAGCCTTGTTTAGGCTTCTGAGCAATTTTTGTGCAGCTGCCCTGTCTTTCATATTTGTATGTTTTTTTCAATCTTCTTAACTGATTCTTAATCAATATGTCATACATGTGTTCCTCCTTAACAGCTTACATTCACTTACTGGAAAATGGCAGAGATGATCTTGTGGCCATGACAAGTCACTTATACCCAGAAACACAAAGAAATTTCAATTCTTGATTCCTAGTAATTTCTTGGGCAGTTAAATATACAAAATTACCTGTGACAGGGCCCTAATCTGAGGAGTGACTGCTGGCCTGGTTGAAACATAGTAGTTTCCTTCCATGCCTTGTGCATGAAGCTTTCCCATCCAGGCAAGCCCAGGTAGTGTGTTGAGATCCTAACAGCACTTTCCTCTTCGAGATAAAATCTCATTGTGAGCAAGGCTTTCAGATGCAGTAGTATTGGGCCAATGCCCAGAAGGAAGTGTACTGCTAGTTTAAATATTCATAAATGCCAAGTAACTTCAAGTTAACCCTTTGCGTTGTAGTGGCTAGTGTAAAAGTGCAACAAGGCCAATTTTTGTTATTTAAAAGAAAAAAACCAAACACTCAAACTATAACACTTTACTGGTAAGAGCATGGAAGGATCTGGCTGTGGCTGACTGCTTCTTTTTTGTCTTTAAGGAAGCAGAGCTATCCTCTTCCCCTGAATTTACAAAAGGGGATGTGCCTGATGAGAGGAGTAGTTGGCACTGCTGACTTCCCTCAGCTGACACTAGCACAAGTGAAGTCCCCAGCAGTTGCAGCAAGGGCAGGGGGAGTGCCTGGAGAAAAATATGGTCTAACTACCTGTTTCACAGAAACTTAAAGAATGCTGATAATGCTTTTGCTTTGGTCACTAGCAATCTTTAGGGAAGGTTGCTGTGAAGTTTGTGCCAAGGAAACTGACATCCAGAGGCAGAACTGTATCTTAGAGGCAAAAGTCTGTTCCTTCTGTTGCAAGGAGGCATTCAGATAAACACTGGCTAGGTAGGCTTCAATTGAACAGACGGAATGATCTTCAGAATTGCCACCTCTGTATCCATGGCTAAATGTAAAAATATTTTTCTGATACATTCACTTGGTTTCTGGGTAGAAAGGCAGATTATCTCAGAATTCACTCTTTGCAAAGGAACTTGAAAGAGATGCAAGAAAACGATGGCAGTGTGCTCCAGTGCTGGCTATTGCCTGCTGAGCTCTAGATAAGCAGCAACTTCATTCCTGTGGAATGCAGAGTTCATTTAATGTCATGGGCTGTTCCCTGGGTTCACCCACAACTGTTAAACACGAAGAAAACTGCAACTTTGATGAAGTACCAGATGTCTTTTACTGGGTTTGTTTTCTTATGACCGAGTTGCTGTGGGTTTGTCTGCCACAGGGCAGCATAGAGGTTGGCAGGTTAGTCCAAGGGCCAAGTTTGTTTCTTTCCAGGAATGGGTGTAACCACGATGTTAGTGAAGGAGGAAACATAACTGTGCTCTAGCAAAGACACTATGCCAGGCTCTGCTAAGGAGAAGCGATAGCTCTCTGCTAGAACAGCCCCTTTTTAACCCTCTCTGTGCCCTAAGTATCTTGATTTGTTGGGAGGATCAAGGAAACTGTTATATTCACGAATGGATTTGATTCTCTCTGTGCTTGGAGTCTGAGGAAAATAACAGGAATACCTGCAAAATATATATTTACATTTAAAATAATCAAACTGACTCGTGTGCCAGTCAAGACCAACTGTGTAGCAGGGACACAACTTTTGACTCTTGAGCATTTTTTCAGGCATATTTTCAGTCTGGAGTACTCATATGAACAAATATGGGTTTAACTGGGAGCAGACCTATGAAAAGAGGTGTTAAGACATGTTGCTTTCCTGCTCCCATGTCCCCTTGATGTAATATAGGTAGCATTGTTTCCTTCCACGTTGTGTTACGTGGTTCTTGCCATGCAGTTTTCCCTTCGCCTTTCTGAGGCTGTGTGTGGTATGTGTGTGTGCACTGCTGAAGTGTCTTTGAGCCTTACTGATTGCATCTCTGTGGCTCAGTAAGCAGCTAGTGGATCAGTTGGCTATATTGCTTTAAGGACGTTGGATAAACAGCATTTCTTTATTTCCCTGTGTTGAGCCACATAGGAATGTCACCTTGTTACCTCTAGCTTGCAGCCTTGGCACCATCCTTCCATCTTCAGAGCACAAATAGTCTTGGACCCTTTAACACTAAAGCACTTGTACCTTTACTTGCTCCTTTACACTTTAGAGAACCTAGAAGCTGGAAAAATAGGGACTGTGTGAAAATCTTAAGAAGAGAGGTGGCTAGTTGTCCTTACGGAAAATGTGTGAGTAAGGAAACTGCCCTTGAAAGGATCAAGGGGAAAATGTTGAGGGGATGTTACATGTACAGTTATTGAGTAGCACAGTTCAAATGCAAAACCACATTTATGTACACTTGTCTTTTTATTTTCAGTAGTGGTTGTTGAGCACTGGTATGTTTTCCTTAACTATTAAAGTTATTTAAAGCCAATTCTCACTCACAGTGGCCCTCCATTGACCACAACTCTACCCAGCTGGTGTGGCCTGATAGCCCGCTGTCTGACAAGTCCCCAGGTTTATGATGTAAGTAGAACAACTCAATACTTCTGTGTTTTGTTTGTATTTGTTTAACTACAGCGAATCAGTGTTTTTCTTTTTAGGCATTTTCTGGTTTCAGATCATTTGACAGATATACTGCAAGAAAGTACTGGTTTGTCCTAGGCAGAAAATATTTAAGATTCTCTCCCCTGAGGCAACAACTTCTGTACGTAGAAATCAGAAAGGATCTTGTTTTTCAAATACTATATTAAAAAAATAACATTTAAAGATATTGGGAAATTACAGGCTGTGCTGGTTTAAAACTAAACTGGTGGGAGAAATGAACCCAGCTCAAAGGGATTACACGTCAGAGCTACAATTTCCTAAAAAGATTACAATAAACACAATGATACAGAGAAAACTGGTTTTAACCCACAAAATCAGATATATAACCCTGCACCGTGGGACAAGAACCAAACAGTGTTCACTGGCCCCTGTGCTAAGCACCATGTGGTTCCCCTGGGGGCAAAGTAACAAGAAAGGAAACCTGTTGGTCTGAATGATGGTCGTGGTTCTGTTGATGTAATGATCACAGGCTTGTTGAGAGTGGCAGTGGCAGTCCTGTTGGAGTTTTAGTCCTCCTCTGGATCCGATGGGTGGTAGCAGAAGTCCCAAACTCCAAAGATTATATATGCTCAGGTTCAGGTGGGAATGCCCGGTACCTCTCCCGGAGTGGGAGTTTCACAGTGGTGAGTCATGGGGTATTTTTGGATGTCTAGGTGTCACAGCTGCCTATTATGCCAGTCCATTGGGGCCCATTAACAGAGATGACTCCTCAGGCTGGGTGTAAAGGTGCTAATGCCTCCATGGAGGGGAGTTATCACAGCTGAGTCATTGGTATGAAGACTAAGAAACACTCTCCTGCCTTATGGTGTTCTTTAACATCCAGCTTGTAGCTTTGAATCACTTCAAAATATTCAGTCCCTTCTCAACAGTTTTGCACAAGGTTCTTTCCGTGTTACCACTACGCTTTGAGGTTTCCTTAGAGAAGTCACTGACACATATATCCATGCCAGAAACAAATCTGGTAAAACTTCCCTCTATTGTTTCCATTGTGAAATTTGAGATCACATTTCAGGAACCGTTAATCAGTTACTTATCTCAGTCTAGCAGGTCACTCTCTTCTTTACAGCCATGTCTTGCAATAATTAATGCTTCATTCTCATATTACTCTTGCAGGACCCTGATACGTGTCATTCCTATCTGTACAGTGCTTCTGAATTCTACAACTTTTTTATGAGCCACTTGTAAATAAAACCATGTGGGATGTCTCATATTTGTAGGTTCTCTGGGATGTTAATATCTCTGCTATGTTCAAGTAGTCTTACACCAGTTTTCTATTAATCCTTTCCTAGACAGTTATGATTTCCACCTGCAATTTTGAAATACTTTGCTGCATCTTTCTTGGTATTATTAGCAACTTACTTGTACCTGACAGAAAAATTTCAAAGAACTTGGAAATTTCTGTTGCCTATTTGCAGCTATTAGTAATGCAAGAAATTGGCCTTATTCTCATCTTTGCAGTGCCACTGGAGGTCTTAAAACAGATCTAGGCTGGAAGGCATCCATCAGACCAATTATCCTACTTGTGTGTTGCCTGTGTGTCTGTCTACATATGATCTTATGAGAGTAATTGTCCAGTAACTGAGAATCTAACCAGAATGAACATGCAACCTTTGCCTTTTATTTTCTCTCATAGTTAGGCTCTTTCTTCTCTTTTCTCATTGTTGTTAGCTACCGCTGCATGTGGAAACTTATTCTTTAGTTGGATTGGTTCTGTGACAAACACACATGGAATGTTAACTTCATTAAAAATGCTTGCAAGGTTGCATACTTTGTTAAGGTGTGTAATTCACATTGTATTGTCTCTTCTGTTCCTATTTCAGTGCATTGTGAATTAGTCTTAGGAAAGAATATAATTTTGAGGGTTTTTTTCTAGCTTCTTTTCAAGATTTCTGAACCCTGCATTGCTTTGTTGCTTTTTGTCTCTTTGTTTGGCTGACTTTGCTACAGAACTTGGCTATGCCATTTTATTACTGGCTAAAAAGCCATGGATTTTTTTTTTTCCCCTTTCTATTTAAGTGCAGTTGAAGCAATGGACAGAGCCATGTCTTTGTGGGGACAGAAAATGCTTGGAATAGTTGTGCCTTTGTGAGGTATTTCCAGGAAAATTGAGTGGTACATCTGTGAGAATTAAAGACTGAAGACTTAAGTTAAGCAAAAAAAATTCTGTAAATATTCACTAGAGTATAACATAGCTGGAAAATATGTTTCCAAAACAAGTATTAGATTCTGGATCTCGTTCAGGTGCATGTCTGGAATTATGACATCTACACAGAGAAGAAAGCATACACCTGTGTGTATATACTCATTGTGTATCGATGTCTTGTTTTCAGCTTTTATTGTTTTGGAGTGTTTTTTTCTCCTCTGACTTTATTACAACATTACTTAAAATTCACTTTCATTTCCATGAGTGGGAGTATGTCTTTTTAACTAGATGCCAAGGGAAGGTTTGAAAGTCTAAAAGTCAAATGATCCTATTACGTAGTCCACCCACAACTTATTTTTAAGCATGAGATCGTGTCCTCTAGGCTTGAATTTGCATGACATACATGTCAGGCTCTGAGTCAGCACACAGAGGTGAGGTACAGTGGATTTTTTTCCAGAGGTGTTGTTACTATTCCTTGCTGATGTTCTCCCACTTGTATTAGTCTGTGCCACTAGGCTCATCATGAAGTGTTTCCCACAGACACACCACAAGCTGGAACTTAAAAACATGCTGCAGTTAGGAGTGAAATTTTGAAAATTGTAATTTTAAACACTATTTTTCTCTTCTGGTGATGTTGTCTTCGGTGCATGAGCAGTTGGCAGGGCATTCCAATTTATCCCAAACTAACGTAGGTCCATTTTTTTCCTTTCTTTTTGACACGTCCTACGAAACTTTTAGTAATTCTCGGTTCCATCAGTCATTTGTCTCAGCTGGAAGAAGCATTCCTGCTTCTTGGGGGTTTTGTTGTTTGAGTTTGTTTTTTTTTTTTTTGTCCAAGGTGTGTTTTTTGTCTTTCACACTCTCCTACACTTTTTTTTAAAGTTTAGTTCTTACACCATGTGTAGCATGACAACTTGGTATGAAAGTAGAGGGAATTGAATTGATTTATAAGTATGCAATCTCAGTGAAGAAACTTGCTTTGCAGACTTTATAAATCTTGCAGGATGTAACTCTCAAAATGGGTAAGAAAGCTGTTCAGCCATGCTTTGCCCTTCCCTGTCCTTAGTGGTTCTACCTTCATAGCAAAAATTGTTTAGTTTCTTTGGTGAATTTAAATTCAGCTGAGAAACAGAGAAACTGTAAGTGAAGCATCAGATTCAGGTTGCTATATATTTTGTATGTACACTACTCGATGCCTTTGTTTTGGAGCCACAAGATAAGCAACTTCCGATGCAAGTTTTGTCATCTGTGATGCCTGTGTTGTATTCAGCACCAGCATTTGTAACTACTGCCAACGCACTCTGCTTGTGCTTCTTTTTACATTGTCTTAGCAGGCAATAAAGACAGGCTGTGTAAGCAGTAACTCACTTTAAATAAGCTTTAATATAAAAACAAAAAACGTTTCCAGCACACATTCTTAGGAACATGAACAGATTTTACCACAAATAGGACAGAGTGCAGTGAGGTCCCTCGAGGTTATGGTCGGCACATCAAAGCAAAATTCAGGCTTTTGCAGAGTTTTGGATTTAGGTATTTAGCCATTCCAGTCTGTCAGTTTAAGTCATGCAGTTCAGACCTATGTTTTCTGAGCGAATTGAAGCTATTCCTACAGAACTGTAGGGGATTGCAGAGGCCTGTTTAGGGTTTTTCTTGGAAGTATTTCAAGTCTCTGGGGATCTACTTGGATACATTTCCTGTCTTTCTTGAAAGAATTGTTCATGCTGCATGAAGCACAGTAGGTTTATTCACCCATCCTCTTTGTTTGCAAACATAGTAAATCCGTATACTACATGGGATTGTTCATGGATGTTCTCTGGGGAAATATATATATGAATATATATGAAATAAATTGCCTGCTGCTTGTAGTGCTATTCAGAAGTGAAATAAATAAAAGGAACTTGGCTCATACAAGGCAATGTTTATTCACTATCTGGAGAGAAAGCTAAGTGTTTTCTCTGGAGCTGATCACATTTATGTACATGCAAGTATAACCTGGGACAAACCAGCAAAGACTGAGTTAGGACTTGCCACACAGTATAAAGCCAATGGCCCTCTCCTTTTAATATCTTGCTTCCAAGAGCTTTTCAGCCTTTTGGGGAAGCTCAAGCATAGCATGTTTTTACCAGTTTCTTATCTGATAGGTGGCTGCAAGGATTTGCTGTTCAACAGCTTTGTGGAGACAGGAGGTGCTTTGAGAGCTTACTGTAGCCACTTCACATGTGGTCCTGTTCTGGCAATAGCTTCTGGTTCTCTGTTAGCCCTGCCTTCCCCTCCTCGGTGCTTCTCCAAGGGCAAGGACCGTGAAAGGGTGCATATGATAGAGCTTCTCAGCTTCTTCTGCTTCTTAAAACATAATCAGTCAACAGTCACACACTGCCTGCTTCTTGCTCATTTTTCCACTTTTCATCTTTATTTTAATGCCTCTTCTTCAAAACGATATATATCTGGGTATCAGATTTTCCTAAATAGATTACTATTTGGAGTGTATTTTTTAGGCACAACTTGGCCTTGTCCCTCAGACTTTTACTTTTTTTGCAACTAAAAGCTCATGAAGGCTGTTTTTGCCAACTATAGCCAAACCCTTTAATTGTTGGCTTTTTGCTTTTTAAGATGGTGCCAGTAGTTCAGTGTTTTCTTTGTGATCAAAGAAGGCAAGTGTTCTAAACTCTATTTGCTCTTTGGGAACAGTGCTCTCTATCACATTAACCCTGTCACTAAAGAGCAGTGATAAATTTGGATGCCACGAAGTTTCTGAGAAATTAGCATTCATCCTAGGTAGGGCTTGCCTTGAACCCAGTGCTGAACTGCACTGTTTCTTTCATCGGTTTTGGCAAACTCCTGACACCTCTTCTAGTCCTCGTTAGTTAAATATTCTGTATCATCTAGAGGTTTCTGCTGCTTTATTTTAGCTGATTATCATTCTGACATAAAGATAAGAAGCTTTCCTAGGATGTTTTATTTAGCCAGGCGCTGCCTTCTTCATCAAGGACAGGTTAATCAGCATTTTCAATCACCAGTGCTCTGAACTCCTGTTCTGCAGTAGAGGCAGGGCTTTCTGTTCAGGCTGAACACAGGCATCCTATCTCACATGGCCTATGCCCTCCTTCCTTTGCAGCAATGGAAGAAAATAATGTATTTTGAGAGCATAGCCCGATCAGTGTCCAGCCTACCGAGGAGAACAGCAATACACACTTACATTTCAGCTCTTGCTAAGCAGGATGGAGCTATTCATGTGGAGAAATAATTGCTTTCAGTTGCAAGAACGCGAGCTAATAGTACCAATAGAATTTTCTTTAAATATAAGGAAAATCCATTTTCTGACCAATTCAGTTGTTTTGCCTTTTACCAAGACCATGTTAAACTCAAATGGAACATGGCACAATTGCTTGCTGTTGTGATTATGCTGTGTAGAGAAATTAAGTGTTTTGTTACATTTCGGCAGTTTCTAGTCTCTGATCGTATATTTCATCCCATCTCTGATAAAATAAATTCACAGGGTTTCGTGCACCACTTTCTTAAATGATTTTGAAAAGAGAAAGTATGAAAACTAGTTACAAAACTATGAAGCAAGCACTTTTCCTGTATCAATCTTTTTTATGGCTCAGTAGCATTCACAAGAACTAGGTCAAGTAATTCTCTGTTTAGTGGCAGGTAAAAGTAAGCAGATAATTTGAAAGAATATTGTTAATCTTGATGTATAACAAACAATTGTTAAGGAATCCTTGAACATTAAAATTTTGGAAAATTTCTAAAATTCTTACCAGTTCGCATGAAACTTTTATTAATGAATTTGACTAACTAGCAATAGATGCAACTCTGACTTTTTGTCTGAAGTGCCCCAAGTGTTCTTGGTCTCCAGTCTTTCTCTTGTAATGCCTTCTAAACTGTCATGCAAAAACCAGTGTGTACTGCAGATCTCTCCTGTACTCCTGGTATACTTTCAGTGCTACTAAATCCCAGGTTACCCGTTTCATAACCTAGTTCTTGGCTTCAGCTCCCCCCATCATCTCTCCACAGTAGCAGTAGTTATACAGGGATTACTAAGCTGATTTGCAAACACTGGGTTCAAGGTTATTTTTAACGTTTCTTAAGGTGAAGCCTTACCTCTTACTGCTTCTGTATTGACACGTAGGTAAATTCTTCTGTTTGGTTACTTTCTGGGCAAAGAAAGATGCTGTGCACTGTACAAAGATTTTTCTTTTTCTCTCTCTCTCCTTTTTTTTTTTTTTTTTTTTTTTTTTTTTTTTTTTTTTTTTTTTTTTTTTTTTTTTTTTTTTTTTTTTTTTTTTTTTTTTTTTTTTTTTTTTTTTTTTTTTTTTTTTTTTTTTTTTTTTTTTTTTTTTTTTTTTTTTTTTTTTTTTTTTTGTCTTTTCAGAATCAGGAACAGCTTAGAGAAGAGGATTCTGATTTTATTCTGAATGACGGTGACCTTACTGTGACATACGGTGACACAACAATAACTGCAAATGGTTCATCTGGCCCCCATACAGCTACCACTAGCCTTGATGGCAGGAGAACAAAAAGTAGTTCAGAGGAGGCACTGGAACGTGATTTGGGAGCAGCAGATCATGAAGTTACAAGCAGGGGTACTCGGCTAGTATTTCCTCTGGAATACAATGCATGATTACTGACTCAGTAAAAATAACTCTTGCTCTGTGAATGGATCAAGGAAGACTGCAGGCCACTGTGTCACTTGAGGTGGGGAAGTTTATTCAAACAAGTTAACATGCGTAAGTGGTTTTACTAGGGTCTGAAGATGTCACCTATTTTTCACTCAAGATGCTGACAGTGGGGTTTTCTAAATGTCTGAATATAGACAAATGAGAAAACTGGTCATTCTCCTCTTTTCAACCACATATTGAATCCAAGTATAACTGGCATGCTGCAATTGTCTTGTTCAGCTGCAGCAGCTCTCTCTCTGAAGAGAGGTACATGAAAACATTGTCATAGAACTGAGTTTGTCTTGACTTAGCTTGGGAATGTGGAGGAAGAGCTATAAACTTGATCATTATTATGAGACAAAAAAGGATGTGTGTTGTCTGAATGTAGAGAGATTCATTGTTAACTTCTCTCCTGAGGCTGAGGAAACTAAAGTGAAATGGGACAGAATACAATAGGACTACAGATGCGTGAATGAAAGACTGAGTTACTGTTACTGCAAGCTGTACTTGAAATATTTCAGGGAAAAAAGGGAAAAGAAGATTTCTTCGCTGGCCAGCTGTTTAAATAGGAAGGCAATGAGAGCTATTTCTCCCTTTAGCTTTGGGCAACTTGACTATTAACCTAACTTCTAGTGCCTCGAACGAAAAACATCCAGCTTCCTGTGGTCTAAGATGCACCTGACCCAACACAAGCCTGGGGCCAGCCTCTTTTGGGTAGCAGTCATGAAATAAAATTTTCTTTCCCTTAAGGTTCTTAAATCGTACGACAATAGTTGAAAACTTGGGCAGGGGAAAACAGCAAATAGGAGGAGAGAGAGAGGCAGTATTGAACTTGCATGGAACCATGAGGTTTCATATTGCTCAGAAGAATCCATGGACTCTGCTTACAGTTCTTGTGTGTGATAAACAGCAAACATCTAATTAAACAGAAAAACAAATACTACTGGCTTTACCATTCATGACTATCCTGAAAGAATGCTGTTTACTCTCGTTCTCTTTTGCAGAGTAGATGTGAAACTTCAGTGGGGCATTGCACAACAGCATATAAGCTACAGAAGCGATGAACTGTACTATCATCTTAAATGTGAAAAGGGAAAAATCTCTGACTAGTATTTAGCCCACTTACACGTAGGCTAGCTTTAACTTATTGCTAAATGCTTTTTAATTTCCAGATGAAGAGATAATCATTGTCTTTGCCAATAGCTGAAAATGTATGCTTTGAAGAGCAGTTCAGCTATTTAAAGCATGCTAGAATGTGACTTCATTCTCATGTCTCAAAAAGATTTATTTTTTTAAAGAGTTCTGTGGCCCACTAATGTGATGTAATATCAATTTGTCCAAAAAGTGTGTTTTTTTTCTTGATGACATTTCAGTTGTTCCTCTCATAAAACTGTGTGTGAGTAAATACCCACTCTGTTGTTCCTTACCTATTAAACTTATTGGGCTAACCTTGGTACATGAATTTACTGCTGCAAAGAAACATTGCAGTTGTGTTGTCTAGTCTGCTTTCTTTCACATATGTCCTATGATGAGTGATCTACCTCCTTGTTTGTCCCTCCAAGGTAAAGTTGTGATGGGCATTGATCTGTAATGACTGTCTCACATTATTAAGAAAAGAGACACAAGGAACCCAGAAGTCTTTTTGTGGAAAAACAAAGACTGATATAGTCTGAGCTCTGTTCTCAAATGGTGAAGAGACACTGAAGATCTCTGAGCAGAGCAACTCATTTTCAGGGCTTCACATGTTTTGCACAAAAAAGTAAGTTCGCTTCCCTGGGACTACAGGCAGTTTATCAGTTAAAGCTGGGGAGCTCTGAGCAGATCCTGTGACTGCTAAGAGCAGTCTTATAAACAGGATTTTTCAGGGTGCTTTCTGTGAGAGGTGTTCAAGGCGCTGCTGGCGCTGGCTCCAACAGTTATCAGAAAGGGGCAATGCTATGATGAGTGTTTATGCTGTGCATTACGTGTCTGCTATGCAGTGTAAGCTGGCTTTTCTGATAAAGCCTGAGCAAGGGTGAAGTATCACATACTTGGTACCTGACCAAGTCTAGCCCTACTCCAAGGATGCAAGTTTTATGGCCTATGAAAAGACAAAAAAAAAAAAAAATTATTTACTTTTACATGGAAGGAATTGCCTTTGGGGAAAGGACTGCAGGAGTTTTGGCTGGAGGAGTGAAAAAAAAAAAAAAAAAAGATTTTTTTGGCTGAACTCCCAAAGAGCTGATCTGAAGCGAGTACATAACAAAGGTTAAAATCATGTCTACTATTAACTAAATGATAACTACTATGTTTTTTTCCTGGGGGGAGGGAAAGACATAATAGGAAGTCTAGCAACTTTAATAGACAGCATGAGGAGCTTACAATAGCTAGGAGGCCAGATCCTGTGATTTTCAGTCTTTATAATCAGATTGGCATGGAAAGCATTGTCGTTCTTGTGTAATTTCAATTAAAGTCTCTCTTCAGACAGTATTGGTCAGAGGAGCGTCTTTCAGTCTGATTCTGAACAGTAAAACCCTAGGAACTAATATGGTTCACATGCCTTTCAAAGAAAGGTTCAGTGTTTCCTTTAACTCTGAAGCAGCTCAGTGGAATAACATGCTTGACCTCAGCTTTGGCAGACATGGTCTCTGCTTCTGCACCAGTGTGGGAATGGAATTTGGATACTCAGAAATCTCAGCTTCATGTGCTTTTCTTTAACATGTAGGGGGGAGATCTTTGTAGGGGAGAAACCAGAAAAGTTACAGATGCATCAGCTGGGAGTATTCCTCTCCTTAATTACTGAACTCATGACCCACTGGAACTTTAAAGCAAGGGAAGACAAATCATGACCAGGAGGCACACACCATCCAGCAGAAAAGAAGCCAGTTAATACCCTGGACTGGCTGTGAACAGTCTTAATCAGAATCACAGAAAGTAGGACTGAGCTGCTGAGTAGGTTAGTTAAACACATTCCTAAGAGAAAAACATGTAGATTAACAAATTCAAATGCCCCATGTTGGAAAATGCTCTTTGTAAGAAGCAGCCCATGCAAACCTTTTTGCAGTGCAGGAGCAGAGTTTTGCTTCCCAGGTTTGGGGATTTGGGGAGGAGAGTTTAATACAGTGCAGTGAGAAACCACAGATTGCTTCTTGGTCTGGAATTTTTGGGAGTGCCCTTCTGAAGAATAACTTCCTGTAGAAATAAGCCTGCAAAGTGAAAGAGGAGGAAAGTGTGGAGGAAACAGCGAATTACAAAGCCAGGAAATGGCTTAAACAGGCAGCTTTACTGTGGGAACAGCATTGTAAACAATTCCTATTCTTAATCTCACAGTCCTAAATGCTGAGACGTTATATAGGCTTTGCATACCTTACCCTAAAATAAGGGCAATGGGACAATGCAAAAATAATAAAACCACCCCATCTTAATTGATCAAAAATCAAAGGCTTATACTGACCTGCTTCTACTCCAGAGCAAGGAAAGTAACCCTTGAACTTTTTTTTTAAGGTAACCTCACATCACTACAATGTTTTCTTGACTCTGAAATGCCTTTAGTAATTTTGAAAGCAGTTCTAGGGTAACGTTAGTGTGACAAATGTGGAGGTGCCTTACAAAGCATGCATACAAACAAACAGGATGTAAATGCTTGGCCAATCATATTTGAGTCTGTGCTGCAGACTCAAATGACATATCTTGTTTTTGTTACCAATGACTTACATAAGCTTTTACTATGGAAATTAAACAGTTGTGACAAAGTGATTAAATATTAGAATCAGTTCAGATTTTTAGGAAATAAAATTATCTATCTGGTTTGGCTGCTTCATTCAGTATGTCTTTATTTTCTCGATCATAATCTATTTTGCACCACCCTATATGGACTTGCAGACCTCCAAAATGCCAGGGGGTTTGAAACTTCGTCTAGGAACTGAATGTTAGCTGGGAGAGACAGCTACTGGAATAGAATTTCTACTGGAATAGAACTCTTTATTAGTTGCCTGCACTGTCTCTATCAAGGAACTTCCTGGGAGAGAAGCCCTACCTTTTTTAATACCTGGCTAAGCTGCTGTGGATAAAACCAATTACCTTCCCAGGTTCATGTACAGTAGTACAGATCCAGAAAGGGTTTATATATATATGCCTGCAAAGGAACAACAATCTTTGTCCTAGGAAAACTAAAAATATTTGGGTTACTTCTATCTTTTGTTAACCTAATTTTTTTCATTTAATTTTCTGATGTCCCTAGTTTCCTGTGGGTTTTTTGTAACCCTTTGGAGCTTGAAAGAACCACATATGAAGACATTAGATACAGATTTTATAAAAGAAGGGAGGGAGTCAGAATAGGCAGACTTCACTTTTGTGCCTGAGCACTATTTCAAAGCTATGCTAACTTATGCAAATTCAATTAATTAAATGGCAATAATTTGAAATACTGGAATTAAAGGTCGCTTTTCCACTTTTAATTGGAAAAAAGTCCAGATTTGTATTCCCTCAGAGAAAGTGAATGCTCAACTTGAAAGGGTTTTGCTGCAATGTTAAAATACTTAACTTCAGGCTATGAGAAATAAATTGGATTTATTTTTTAACTAGTAGAGTCTCTGAAGTTGTTATTACAGAGGCAGAAGTAGGTCATGCAGTTCTGTGTTGTAATATATTTATGACTTTTGTTTCCAGATTTTAGTTTAATCAAGGAGCTTATCATCCACTGCCTGATTTTGAATTTCAGTCCTAAATTGCTTGGCTTGAATGTCTTAATGTTGACACAGATTAATACCAGAAAGCAGAATATCAGAAGACGGTCTTCTGGATCACATCAGCCGATTAGTAATAGCTGTTGTGAAATAACAACTTCCAGCACATGGGGTCACTTGAGGTAAGTTTGTCTGATTTGAGTTTGGGAAATCAGAAGTAAAGGAAGGGAGGTAGAACGATAGGATCCACAGCTGGTTTTGGTGGAGCAGGGAGACAGGCTGCTGTGCCTTTCCTTTGCAGTTATAGGATAGGTGCTACATGTTTCCTTTTTATTAGTTCTGGTCTGTTCATAAAGCTCAAAATCAGAAGCAGCATTTAACCTGATCCCTATCAGTTTACCATTCTCATAATTCTTGTCACTTAAGGTGTGAACTTACCAGTAAGGTTGCGGGAAGTGTCTTAAGGTTACTTCAAACACAAGAAAACAACAGGTATCCAAAGCATATCATGCTGCCCTCAGACTGCCGTGGCAGATGTCCAAAACTTCTGGCACTTCAGTTCCCTTGAGGCACCTAAAGCCTGCATGGTACGATAGGTTCAAGTTGGGGGTGGTCCAAACGCTGTCAGGGAGGGCTGTAATTATGAGTCCTATCCTGAGAGATAAACACTGTTTCTTGTAAAAGCAAGAAAGTAGGTCCTGCTTCGCCAAATGTCTTTAACGACGCTGAGGCAATTACTGTAAGCAGAGGTTTGCAGAAGTGGACTATAGTACTGTATCCCTTGATACAGCCTCTTCATCGTGTTGACAGCTACAGCGACAACCGTCCTTTCGATATTTGCAGTTAAAGTGGTGAGGATGTAAGGAAGACAGCAACTCTCTGCAGTGCTAGGGTCTGATTTCTTGGTCTTCGGCCCACCAGTGGCATGCAGGTGCTCTGAGCCCTAGTTTGGGAGCTCAGTATCCTAACGAGGCTACACAGCAAGCGATGGGGAAGAGAGAAAAAACCGAAATATTGTGAAAGCTCTGCATGTTGCAGGGATAGTAGTAATGGAGGATGGAGAATAAACACCTGCTGGGCATTTTGTCACTGGCTGATTTGTGTACACACTTGGCTAAACATTCTTTCGTATGGATAAGATACTGCAGTAATTTCAGCTTTGTTTGAGCCACCTGAGGCTTCACCCAAGCATCCCTTTCTCAAGAGGAGAAATGTTAGTGCTGTTTGGAGCCCCTGCTCTGTCATCAAGTTCCAGGTTAGGTATGAACATAGTGTTACTGTTACATGTCAGTAAAGTATTTCATCTTTCCATTTCTTCTTACTGAGGTGAAGCTTAGGCAGAGTGCCAGTTCCAGTGCAAGATACAAGAGGACAGTCTTATTTGTCTTGCATAATCTTACCATGTATTTTACACCAAAATCTCACTAATTGCATAAAAAATAAAGAGTTTTCTACTGTAGCAATCAGTAAACACTGGGGTTATTTTTCAGTATAATGAAAACAGGAACTTATACCTCAGGATAAATATTTCCCTTGTGCCTCGCTCTTTTTCCATAAGAACACTGAAGAAATCAGCACTCCTTGGTAGTTTATTGAATTATTGGCAAGGCTTCTACTCACAGTGTGACCTTCTCTGAGTGGGAACAGTCGTCCTCTTCCCAGTGATGCAATCTGAGGGCTTTGCTGTACTTCTCATGGAGTAACTGGCTTCTAGAACTTCTGATGGCAGTACAACTCACAGAGTCAGCAAATCTGAACATGAAATATTGCAGTTCCAGTTAAAAGGATGTGAAACCCATCTTACACTATGCTTGTTGTCTGATTTCTGTATGAATAGTTGGAAGCAGTGCCTCTAGTCATTACGAGTTGTTGCATTTTGACTGTACTTTTCCATTCTCATCAAACTCACTTCCAGTGAGAGTGAATTTGTTTTAGGAAGTAGATCTTGATCCTTTCCAGGCAAAAAGTTTGGCTCAAGGGTATGGATGCTCCACATTTGGTAGTGTGATTTTTGTTGTTTGCCATCATGCCATATATGCAAAGCATGCACCTGCCAGTGAGGCAGCACAGGTACCTCTGATTGCTTTCAGGGAGAGCAAACTGCCACCTGCTCTGAAGTTCATCCTCTAGTCAAGAAGGGAAGCTCTGCAGTGAGCCTGAAAGTGAGGGGCATATTGGGCTCTACTGGAATAAGTAGGTTTTAGAATCTGTAAGCTTGTAACCAGATGAGTTATGAAATTCAGAACTGTTATTTAATGAGAAAGGGGCTCTTCTCCAACTTTACCAACTGTTATCCTGGAAAACTGAGATCTACAGAAAGTATAGTTATTTCCTGTCTCAACCACAGGGTCCCTTTGTTCAGGAAGACCAAGAATCAGTGCTTTTAACGCTACTTACTTTCAATATTTTTTTTTCTGTTGTCCAACCCAAGTAAATAATTCTTCTTTTGGTTTTGTAATACGTTTTCTTTAAATATGAAGGACCTTCCTTCTAAAAATAAAAATTTTTAAAAGTGGTCGGTAAATTTTCAGTATGGTAATATCAGCTGAATATTTGAACTGCATCAAACAAGGGAGGAGTGGAAATAATGAAAGGAGATGGTGATCAGAATTAAACTCTGCTTGAAGAGCTACAGACACTCTGCACGCTGACTTCCTTTGCCCCTGTCACTCTGTGTATTCTTAAATATAATCAATAAAGGATGTTTATCAATCTGACATTGCTTCTGTTCCAAGACTAGGGCACCTCTACTATGACTGAGTTCAATATTTTCAAAGCAACTGAATTTTGTTAATCAAATTACTTCTTATTTTTCCTAACCAAGAGTGAGTTCACAAAACAAAAACCATTCCTGCCAAACTAATCCCCACTCCAGGACAAAGTGATTTCTGCAAAGCATTTGAAGTAACATAAACCATGTGTGGTTTTGAAGTTAGGAGTTAGAGTTTTTTTTAAAGAATATATTCAGATTTATGTAGGATAATGCTTGAAAATGTGACTATCTCTAAATACACTTCATATCCTGAACCATTTGATCAATGAAATAAAATTATCAAATCCATCACTACTAAAAATCTTAAACAAAATCAAGTCTACTCTCTTGTTATGGGACAAGAAATAGAATTTAAATACTAAATGATTACAAAAGATCTGAAAAATGGAATCATAACACGAGGTAAGACTACAGCTATCTTGAAAACATGCTTTATTCTTGAAATGTTAAGTAAGTAAACACATGCCCCAGCTAGAGAGAAATCTGGTTTATCGCATTGAAATTTTCAGTACCAACCCTAGCACTGAAATGTACCTGTCTTTTTCCAGAACTTCCAACCTCGTCTTTCCAATAGTGCTTTTAGTTTTCACTCTACTGTGCCAGTTGGGGTCAGCTGTCCTGGCTGTGTCCCCTCCCAGCTCCTTGAGCCCGCCCAGACTCCTCACTGGCGGGGTGAGGAGCAGAAAAGGCCTTGACTCTGTGCAAGCACTGTTCAGCAATAGCAGTGTTATCAACACTGTTTCCAGCACAGATCCAAAACACAGCCCCAAAGTAGCTGCTCTGAAGAAAATTAACTCTACCCCAGCTGAAACCAGCTCATAGGCCCTTCAGCCAACAGCAGGAGCTTAGGTTTAGACCCCAGAGAAGCAGTGGTGTTGAGCAGCTTCAGACAGTGAAAGAGAGGGGAGCCCAGGATGCACAGTGCAGTTTCATCTTTATTGATCATGGGAGAAAGTCTCCTCAGGCACAGATAACACCTATATTGGTAAAACCCTACTGGAAAAATAAACAGGATGAGATATTATTTACCCTGGCTATTGGTATTTAGAAAGGGAAGAGAAAGGAATGCCAGCAAATTTCCATGGTTGTCCCATGGTTGTCCCTTCACTAGCAGGGAATTAGCTGTTCCAATGTGATGGTCAAATGTAAACAAAACTACCCTCAGGGTACTAAAAGCTATCCATAGCTGCGTGCTTCAATACAGATGCTATAGTTGTGTGAGGCAGAGGCAGCAGTAAATAAAGGAAAAAAAAATATTCAAAAAGCTTCAAAAAAGGAAGGTGGTCCATACTGGGCCTTTAATCCACAAACTCTGCAAAGATGGGTGTGAATTCTTTTCCTAGTTGAGTTTTACACTTTATTTGGAGAATAATACTGTGCATGTATGAAAGCACTTGGTTACAATATCAACCTAATTTTACCTTTTGGCTGTTATTCCAAAACCTAACTGTCAAGTCAGGATATAAAGGAGTTCAAAGGATGCAAATTACTGCTTACAGTTAGATACTTCTAATACTACAGCTGGTTTAGTTTAAGGAGTAACTACCACCTTCCCTAGATGGTTTTTACCTTTACTGGTAAAATTGTAATGAAATTGTAATGAACATTTCATGGGCAGAGCAGTGATGAAGACCTGCAGGCATTCAGAAATAAGTCTCGGGAATTATTCTGTAGGGCCCTACGCTGCTTGTGCATTCCCCAGATCAAAGCATCGTTAGAAGATGAAAAAGTTTTATTAATTAAATGTCTAGCTTGAAATTTTTCTAGCTGTTCTGTAACAGATCACAAGAGACTTCTCTCCCACTTATCCCTGGACCTTTTCTTCCATGCAATAGTAGAGATTTTTAAAATAATGTTTGTTAAAGGCATAACCTAACTCTCTTCTGAAGGACAGGATTTTTGCCATGAGGACGGGGGCATCACTCACCTGATCTGCAGCCAGTAAAGGAATTTTTTTTCTCTGCCTCTGCCTGCTGAAGAGTGCTCTGGGGTCAGCCCTCAGGAACTCTGTACCTCCGTACTGGAATTACTCCTGGTGGGAATTTGTGAAGCTGTAGATACAGGCATGACCAGACACACTTTGGCAGTTCCAAGGAACCTGAAACTCAATTTAGAAAGAAGTCAAGTTTATGCAGTCTTAAAACTGCTTACTAGCTGCTTCCTTCAAGGTTAGCATCACCAGTTTACAAGCAACACATTTACACATTATGGTGGGGATCCAAAAGCACCAGGATGGCCATTTTCTAGTGCAGAAGTATCAAGGCAGCTACACATACCCTCTACTACTAGTCAAGATTTTAACTCCTTTTCCATTAAAGAACAAAGTTTTAGAAATATTGGCTAAATATTATTATTATCATCATCATCCAATCTGAATGTAACTAAGTTCTTAGAAGAGCCAACTAGCCCCACTAGCACAAGTACTTTACAAAGAATTTCAGAGACTCAATAGGAAGATATGGCCTCAAATGAACAATTTAAGGTACAAAATGAAATTCAAGCTAAAGCAGCTTCTCATTTACTACAGAGTATAAAACCACAGTCACTCACTCCATCAGAAATAAGCAAATGAAGTCTGGGTCCTGCTTTCTACCATTTTCCACATCTTGGACATAAAAACCTTTGTGAACATCCAAAACCAATTTTCAGGTAAACAAAAGCACCTCTTTTTATGCAAGAAACTGAGGTTGTATAAATGACTGAAATGTTTATCTGATCTAATTGCATCAAGACAGAACTAGGACTTATGTATGGAAGTTGATCAATATGATGATGGATGAACAAATCAAAGTGCTGTATCAAAACAAAAACTGTAAAATTGAGACCTGAATTGGAAACGAATGGTCTTAAAAGCTGAATAGCTGGGAGGGTTTGTTGTGTAAAAAAGGAATCCTACAGTTATTTGCTTGTGACAAGAACAAGTTAGCATAGAGCAATGGCAATATGCTGTTTTCTGCATCCAGTAAGACAAGTCACAGGCTTAAACTGAATCAAGAATGATTCAAACAGATGATTGAGAACAGTTTTTAACAGTGGACATACTGACATAATGGAGTAAATGACTAATGGAGGATATGAAGTTTTCATCATTAATGATTTTAAGGACAGCTTGGGACAGGTAGCAAATGTCCCATCCTGTCCTCTCTACATCCATTTGAGATAGAGCTAAGTATCACTAATTATTCCTAAACTGGCTTTATTTAAAAAAAAAAAAAAAAAAAAGAAAGAAAGAAAGAAAGAAAAAAAACAGGCAGGGAAACACCCACAACAACTCACTCAAGTCATCCTTGCTCAAGCAGCAGCTTAAATGACTGTGAAAAGCCAAGGAAATATTTCCAAACCTTCCATCAGAGAGGCCTCTGCTGTACTTGGCCTAATCTCCTGCAGCCCTTTTTCATTATTTTTAACAAGTGCTGCACTTTAAATGCTATCCAGAGCACACCTGAAACTAGTTTCATGCCTGTGCATAAATAAACGAGGGGCTAATCATTTCACAGCTGTATGGCAAAGCATTAAAGACATCTCAACCACAGCGAGGGCAGTGCTAGAGCTGTGTGGCCCCACACCCTGCACTTGCTGGCACAGCTGGGATTTCTAACCATTGCAAGTGAACAACCACACAGCCTTTGCTTACACAAGCACACCCCACCTCTCCTTTCCCCTCAGCTCCTCTCACCTTAAAAAAAAAAGGGGCAAAAAATACTGGGTTAATGGTGTGGGGTTTGTGCTCTCTTGATTTATTCTACAGCTCCAATATTTTTTATTCAAATACTGGCAAAGGCACAATTACCAGATTTCCTCATAGGAAATGTTATGAGACACTAATCTATTGCAGAGTACTCCAAAACAAACTATTTAACAACGTTTCCATGGAAGTCAGCATTGCCTCTTTTTCACAGAGCAAAACCAAAATGTACAAAGCATCTTTAAATTGGGGCTCAAGTCTTTTTCTACATTAAAGCTGATTTTTCAGGAGACTTCAGCACTCTGTACAGAACTTTCCATGGATTACAGGGCTCCTGGACCACATAGCTTCGTATCTTGCCATAATATGATAGTCTACCATATCAGTTCCTTTCTGTTTCTAAATTATAGGAGCTGTCTTTTAAAATGAGTTGTGTCTTTTTTTCCATCCCTTCCTGCCATGCTGTTCTCATGGTTAAACAAATCCCCATCTTGTTCTAGCTTCCAGGCTGAAGTGATTCACTGCTGATGTACAAAATCTGTTCTTATGCCAGTATTGTTCATAGCTTGATTACCTCTCTCCCACACTGCTGTTCTTGCTGCTGTGCACCACTGTCCTCTTTCAACCTTGACTTTGAGACTAAATAAACCACACATCTTGATCTTCTCCAAGACAGAGGGCTGTTATTTCACTTGACATTTCTCTGTATCTCTTAAAAATATGAATTCATTCACTTGGGGGTTGGATGGCTAGAGCAGAGAACATGTTAGTGCCACTGCACATTTGCCCTTTTCACAACTAGCTCACTCAGGGGTTCAGAGTCACTCGGTCCATGAGCCACTGCTGCCCCCTGACCAGGCACACCTGCACAACTGACTGCTGCTACAGCAGTTCTGCAAAGCCAACTTCTGCATACCAGAGGTGTCGCTCAGCTTTGGTCAGCCTGATACGGACTTGGCCTCTTCAGAAAAGCTAACTTATTTGTCCACCATCTCACAGACAATGTGGCACCAGGGACTGAGCCCAGTTCCTCTGAGAGCTTTTGAATACCTCAGCCATGAGATACTGCCTCCATCCTTTCACCTCCTTCACTCTGCCACCAGATTCCTGCACGCTTTCTAACTTCTGGCACAGACCGGGCAATGCTCGTGGTGCCAGACGTGTTGCACGATCCAGTCCTGCCCCAGGCATGTCCAGCCTTGAGTGTTGACCAAGTGCTACAGCGGAGAAAAAAACAACACAGTGACGGATAAGGAGCATGAAAAGGGAGGCAGCAGACACAGACTCCTTCAGTGCTTGACTTTGCAGCAACATTGATTGTCTCTGTAACAGTGTGCATATACAAGAGGTTTCCTGGCATTTTTTGAAAAGCTCATACCGAAAACAATAGGTATCAGTGATATGCACATGAGTCACTGCTAGAACTGAGACTTTTAAATCCTGTATGCAAACATCTGTCACTTGAACCAAGGACATGGACAAGGACCTCCTCCAGGCTCCTCTGTTCTGGCAGCTGCAAAGGCACTCCCAAATGCAGCTCAGGCAAAGGCAGCTGGATGAGACAGCTCTCACATTACCCCTTGTGCTCCCAAGCTGAGCCTGACACTGGAAGGAGGTGGGCAAAGACTTTATTTTTACAAGTTTAAGCTTTAAAACTTCCATTTTGCAAGAGAGCTCTTCCTCCCATGCATCCCACTGTGATGCTGCCAGGAGAGCGGGGGGAAGAGGTAATAAATTCCTTACAGAATTCAGGGAAAGATAGGAGTCTG